GATCGCAGAGTCTCAAGGGATGTCTGTCGAACAATCGAAACAATGCAAGTGTTGTGACAATTCAGCCTAAGAATGCGTTGCAGAGCGAAGAATCAAGTAAGTTGCTGGACAATTCACACAACTCCATCTCACGACAGCAACCAAGTCCCGGAATGGAAAAGTCAACGCCAGCTTTCTCCAAAGCCAAAGAAGGTAAAGAAATTAAAGCTAGTACGAACGCGTCATATAATCGTTCAAATTCGTTTTATATGTACATATATCATTATTTTTCAATACTTAGCTATTTCTCTCCCTACATGCACACATATGTATATCCTCATAAATGTCATCATGTAAACATCGAAGTTAGTTGTCACTGAAAATATTATCAGTCGCGCGCGCGAGCAACTTGGTATTTATAAGACTTTCTTATTCGGAAAAAAAGTTTTTCTAAGAAACGTACAATGTGTAACTTTATCAGGGACTACTGATATTTATTGTAATACGTCTTCCGATAAAGTGTGCCAAGCTGTTGACTCAATGACAAGAGTGATTAAAAGTAATTCTGGACAGAGGAACAAGTTTATCGAAGGTCTAGACTTTGCATCGATCGTAGACTGGACGAGTGAACTTAGACCAAGTATGAAAAAGCTGCGCCAGGCTATGGATGGGCTTCTTAAAACTGCAAGGCTCACGCATTCGGTATTCCGAGTTCAAGAGGATGCCAAGACAGCTCAACGTGCTTGTAACGTCCGATATAGACGAGACGTTTGTTTCAGTCAGGCAGTAAATTTATTTATCAACATATTCTCCTCCTAAATCTTCAAATCCTCAAATTATATTCATCAAAATTAATTTTCAGCTTACATCGTTAGTGTCTAGTATCATGGCAAAACTATGGTGTCAAAGGCCTGATCCAATGTTTCTATTAATTTTGACGACTCTTGGGCCTCTAGTTTCTTTTGAGGGACTTCTCAGTTATTACGGCGATGAGATTGATATGTGGGGAGACATGGCGGTTGCAGTTGAAGATATGCATACCGTTACGTTTACTTTATCTAGACGTGGTATTCAGCCTAGGTATAAATCATAATTTTAACATTAATACAATCATTGTCCTATTTGATTTTTATATTGTCTATTTGTTTCTATAGAATCGAAGACATGGGTTATACGCCCTTTCAACTTCCATTACCTTGTGTAGTCGGTTCTCGGACCGCTTTGACAGTAATACTTCCAGTACCAGATGCTATATATTCTTTATTGCCATTAGTACCTTCCTCAAGACAGACCTTATCCTTCAACGTGACACCTGTATTCTTCAATATAGGTATTAACGAAATGGCATCCTTGGCTGAAAGTCTTGGTACTATTAAACCACAAGAGAAAAGTAATATTGATAATTTCGATAGACTGAATGAATATTATTTAAGATTCAAAAAACTCAATTTGCCTACGGAACCAGCATCTACTCGGCGTGAGTATAACTAATGTTATATTTTCATAATAAATTTTCATAATAAATCATTTAAATATCTCATATTTTTTAGTTGGTACGAAATCTGCTTTGAGTCATACATTGGCCGACATGATGTTAAATTTAAAAACAGCGGTTCATGCTAAGGTGAATAAAAACGTCGAGATATTGCAATTGTCTTCGCAAATATGTCGACGTATGCGTGGCTTGAGATTTACCAGTTGCAAAAGTGCCAAAGATAGGACTGGCATGTCGATCACTTTAGAACAGGTTAACATATTATCGACGGAGTATCATTTAGCGGAGCACGAGTTTACAAGAGCGCTCGATTGTATGCGAAGGTAAATAAAACTTGTTATTCATCGAATCCGTATATTACTCTCGTAACCGGCATTGTTTATATCTCATTCCAGCGAAGGATGTCGACGCGAGAACACATGGAAGAATATCGGAGTACGGAAATACGCGTTCAACAGTCTACAGATTTTAACTTTCCCAAAACTATATCGACCACCAACTGGTACCTATGGATCAGCACAAACTTAAGATAAGTGTTACAACGACATAATACATCTGGTTTTTTTTTTCCTTTTTTTTTTTTTTTTTTTTTTTTTTCTGAGATTGCAACTTGCCGACGAATGTATAATTTCATGCGACGTGATTAACGATTCATGATCACACACTCCAGTGTCTGTAGATATAGAATTAGCGATAAAATGAAGTTTGTATTTTTAAGAGACAAGGAGATTCAACGAACAATTTAGACATGTTTAGATGTTAACATATATAAAAAAGAATGATCGATTGATTATTCTTTAGTGCCATTTTTTTGTTCTTTTTTCTTCCTCTCAATTATAGTTGCGAAGATCAGTGCATCGAGTTTTGCGAGCTGTAAAATTAATCATGCATAAGGAAACATATTTATTGCACGGTGTACATAATTTTTCGACGAGCACAAATTGATAAGATTTTGAAATATTTAAAGGGAAATTAACAAATTTGCCACAACTTTGTTAAGAACAATTTTGTTCGTTAGGCAATCTGAGTGCTTCCTTTTACACATCAACGGTGGAATAATAACGTCGTGATATATATTGCAGATAATTCATATTTATCATTACGTTAATTGTATATTTGTATATTTTTTTTCTTTAATTGAAATATCATTAAGAAATGTAAAACGAGACTTTCGTTATTATAATACTCTCATACGCGTGACGTAGTATGAAAAAAAAAACAAATGGCAAATATGTTCACAACATAATACATACATACAATATTATTGCCCCTGACAATAGGCCAACATTCGCACGAGCGTGCATGAAAAAAAAATAAATAAATCTCGTAACTTCGAATGTATGTGAAAAATTATTGATTTTTGTCGAAATGATTTCAAATAAAAATAATTCATAAATTAATAAGACATATGACATATTATGTTTAGGAGATTAGAAGAATTATAATTAATTTACAATTAATTGATTATAATTAAGTTGTAATAACATTGTTTTATATCTCTCGTAAATGCTTCATTGTTTATTTCAACGAAGATGGTTCTTGTTAATTTTTAGGAAAAAAGAAAAAAGAAAGAAAGACAGAAAAGAAAAAAGAAGACATATTAATATAAAATAAAATAATCGATGAAGCGAGTTGTCTCAGAAATCATCTCATTGGAACGATCTATGTCTAATCATTTATATACGCATGCAAAGTGTCTCAACAAAGTAATAGAAAATTTAATCCAAAAACAAATTATTCAAATACGTGTCGTTGAGATCGCCGAGATGATTCATGTTCTTTAAAATGGTATAGGTCGATAGTCTTCACGAATAATAATGATTTTCCGTATTTAGAATTGTTAACAAAAACAAAAAGACAAATAAAAAAGAAAGAAATGAAAGAAAAAAAAATTATCGAGCGCGCATAAACGAAAATTGTATCGCAATTAATAAAAATTGTATCGAACGTTACGTTTCACTCTTAGATACATACATACATACATTATACATACATACATACATTATACATACATACATACATTATACATACATACATACATATATACATACATACATATATATACATACATTGATATCAACGTTAAAAAAAAGAAAATGAAAAGACCGCACATGGAATGCGAATTGTTTTTAAATATATGTATATTGTTATTAGTCAATACATGAATTTTTGTAAGAAAACATTTTCCCCCGAGCTTCAAGAGCTCAAGTAAATTCGAAAGCGCAGTAATATATATATATATATATATATATATATATATATATGTATACGTTGTTGAATTCGTGATAGAAATTTAGAAGAACGAAGTATATTGCGATACGCTCATTTCAAATTCGCATTAAGAAAAACTTATATGTAAAAAAGAAGAAGAAGACGAAAAAGAAGAAGAAGAAAAAAGAAAAGAAAGGAAAACAATATAGATATATATATAAAAAAAAAAAAACAAAATGAAAACACTCTTCCCTTCCAGGCCCCTGCCATCACCCCGCCTCGTTCCTCTCCACTAAAAAAAAAATATATAAATAAAAAAACAAAGATTTACCAACAACAATCTGTAGTAAAATTGTAAAACAAATTTAATAAAATGTCTTTAAGGGATGATTAAATTAAAAGAGATTATAATTTTGATATATCAATCGATCGATCGTAGATGTAGTATTTTCTTTTTTCTTTTTTTTTGTTTTTTTTTTTTTTTTTTTTCGAGGAAAAAATGTGAAAAATGTCAACTATTTTGAGCAGGTAGAAAAAGAAAAAAAAAAAAAAAAAGAAACGTTTCTGTGAAAACTTGCTCACCAGCTGACAATCGAGAAAGATGTTGATCTGTATAGCGAACGAACCCGCCCTGTGCGAAACGCATTTTATAAGGGTATCGATGTTCATAAAGATGCCTGAGAGATGCATTTGCAGTCTGTCGTGTGCCATTGGGTTGTAGGTAGTAGGGATCTCCTACGGTTGAGCAAGCACACGGCGCGTGGCAGAAGGATTCGTGTTTAGCATATCGGGTATGCCGTTCATTCACACATATATACAACTTAAATCATATATATATATATATATACATGTCCATATATATATGTATATATGTACACTAACATACGTATATGGACCGACAGAGTTGGTGGTTATAATGCACAAGCACGCACCATTCTTTTTTCTCTTCTCATTTTCTTTCATCGAACCCTTGAAGCGCGTGCCTCGGTTATAACACCCTTCTTCTTCTCTCTTACTACTTACGTTCTACGTTTACATTTGATATCGTATTACCAATTGTTCAAACATGTAAAAGAAGAATGTGCAATTTATTTTGTAACGGTAATATTAATGAAACCTTTTAAGTACAAGAAATTATATACATACATCGCATCACAATTTTTTTTACGAAAAAGAACAGTTGTTCATCGTCTACTTTAGGTAGAGAATTTAACTCAATTTAACAAGCAATTTGTCTACTTTTCCAATATAAGTATTTCGTTAAATATGAAATTTTATATATTTATTATTTATATTATTATAGGATATATCTAAATATTATGTAAAATTCATGATTTATTTTTTTTTATGTAACTCGATCGTTAAAATATTATTTTTCTTTTAGTTCAAAAATATCCTCGTGTGTTTTACCTGCGGGTACAAAAGATTACGAGTATAATGAAGTTGCTTCCTTTCTTTGAGTATTCTTCCCTTCCTCTTTTACATCTTCCGCACGAGCGAACCGGAGGCCGGCCATCGATGTCGCGTGGCGTGCGCGTGGAGAAGCCTGCGAGATAAAAATAAAAAGAAAAAAATGATGATGAAGGAGAAAAAGAAAAAGAAGAAGAAAGGAAAAAAAAAGAAATAAAATAGCAATTTTCTTCAAAAATATTATGAATGAACTAAACTATCCCTAAAAACAAAATAAATAAAATAACTAAACAAAATAACTAAAAAAAAGAAAAAAGGGAAGGAAGAAACATAACATATTACAAAATTTGCCCATTCATAACTCTTAATTAATATATAAAAATAAAAATTTTAGAATAGAATTTGAACGAGAGAATCGAGAAAAAACCAAATTTTTTAATAATTCTGTGTAATAATGTTAGAAAGAGGAGGAAAGAAAGGTATTCGTGTTGTAGGTACTACGACGAATTGTACGATTAACTTCAATAGTGTGTGTTATTCAAGTACGAAAGGGCAAATCGCATGGCACATTCGAGAGTAAAGCAGACAGGAGGAGGCGATCTTAGAGAGCAGGGGCTGAATGAAACGAAGCATGTAGAAGAGGAAGGGGAAGAGGAGATGGTGATAGTAGTGATGGTGATGGTGGTGGTGATAATGGTGGTGGTGGTGATACTAGTGGTAGTAGTGGTGGTGATGGAGGAGGAGGAGGAGCAGAAGGAGGAGGAGGAGGAGAAGAGAAGGAGAGAGGGTGTACACGCGCGAGAGTAAGAGGCGAGAGACACAACGATGTTATACCTGGGACGCCTGGTGTTGGCGAACACCTGCTCCACATTGGTATCCCCCTGATGCCTTTGTCCAGCCAACGGATATAATACACGCGTACCTCGTCGAAGAGACGCCAGTAAGTCTTGGAGAGTCCAGGAATACAGACAGAATTCTACGTGCTTTACTACTTATTTTTCATTAGTTATCACGAGTTCCATCGTAGTCCATGACATACACATAGATATTTCATTCAATGTAATGACCTTAATGACGTAATTGATAACAACAATAGTGATTTCGGGCATTCAACGTTTATATATTTATATATAAATATTTTTCACGGTAAACATTATTAACTACGCGATGTTGACCTTGTGTTTATTAACGATTATTGCTATATTGAAAACGATCAACGGTGTTCCAACAGTCCCTTTAAATAACGAAAATCTTGCGAGCACAGTGAAATTATTGCAAGAACAAGTTAACGCACTTCTTTATCATCGTCAAGAGGATTACAATGCCTTAGAAGAAAGTTTGAAACATGCCATAGAGAAAAATACGGAATTGGTTGTACTAAGAAAGGAAGTCGACTTATTGAGGTGAGAAACAGACCTTTCCATTCTTTTTTTCTTTTTCTTTTTTTCTATGTTATTTCTACTTTTTCTTTTCTTTTTGTGATCGTAACTCTTTTCAATTCTCCTACGATCGATAGCACGCGCGGACAACCAAGCAAGCAAGCAAGCTACCACCTCGTTGATTTTTTATTTTCTTATATGGTGTAAGCTCGTATATGTATGTAATAAAAGAAAAAAAAAAGAAAGAGAGAAAGAAGAAAATTCATACAAATCGATACGTGTGCGTTGTCAAACAATAATAACAAAAAAAAAAAAAAAAAACAAACATCCCCGATAAACGTTTCTATAGATAGCAATGACCTCTTATACTCATTAATCTTTAACTCGTCTGCGAACTAAGTTTTCTAATGAAACATGCATGCTCGATGAATTCAGAAGGCGTTCAACTCACTAGAAATAGAGATAGAGATGAAGCGAAAAAGAGGGAGAGAGATAATTTAAGAAAATTTAACTAACAAATTGATACCAAGAAAAATCAATTCTATCTTCTATTGTTCCGGTCGTTACAGAAAAGAAGTAAATGAGCTAAGAGGCGGAAGTGGCAACGAGGCGAAAAACGAGCGTTTGAGGGTGAGATGGTTAGGTAGTGCAGTAACCGAGTTACAGAGCGAAGTCGCCGAAGTTCTAAGAACAAGAAATGCCAGTGAGGAATTAGCAGAAAGATCAAGGATGCGAAGCGAGCTATCCCTTTTGAAGGGTGACGTTGCCGAGGTAGGAAGAGGCATTCGTAATCTTGGTGGTCGCATTGCCAAGTTCGAAGCTGCCCTGGGGACAATTCGCATCGATATCACAGCTATGAAGGAACGTGCCAGCAAGCTGTCCCGCACCTGCGCCGATGTCGCCAGTCAGGTAATAATATCGAAAAAAATAAAAAATAAAAAAAATACTATTTATATGCATATACGATTAAGAATATACGATCTACGAAGACGTTTATCGTTATACGTAAACATAAGAGACACGTTGACGCATCAACATGTTTAGTATTTATTCGAAGAAAAAAAAGGAAGGAAAAAACAACAAGAAAAAAAACAATAACAAAAAAAAAAGACGCAAGAGATGCACCTGCCGTGTTCGTACAGCCGGCAACCGGTGGCTCCCCATTTCTGTTTCTCGTTTTACCGGCCGGCAGCTGCCGCTGTTGGCTCCTCGCTATATCGGCCCCCTTCATTCCGGCGTTCCATTCGTTTGGCAGCATCGACCCCTCACTCCTCCCTCTCTACAGGCCCTTCACTTGCGATGCCCTCTTCGTCCCACCCATGTTAATAAATACCACGTAGGCCCAGTATGTGACGTGGTTCGTTGCGCTCTTTCGACAAAAGCAGATGTTTCGTATTCCTTTCCTTTTTTTTTTCCTTTTTCTTTTTGGGCATTCCAATAATCATTCTCATCTCTTTTTTCGAACACTTCCACTCGAGTCATCATCGTATTTCTCTTTATCTTTCATTTATATATTTGTAATATTTAATTATCTAATTAATTTAGTTCCCTTTTGTTTGTTTGTTTGTTTAGATCGGTACTATGCAGATCGAATTGAAATCATTGAAATGCGACACACCGAACGAGCACAGATCCCATCGGTTTTCCGTTCATCGACACGAGGACAAGTTACGCGAAGACAATGAAATCAAAAATGAAGTGCTGCACGAAAATAGGAAAAGGCATAGCTATTCGAGACCTTTAGTACATCGTATAGAGGAACGTCTCACAAATCTAGAACATAAAATTTCTTTAGTATCGAGAAAACGTGGTATGATAGAGAAGAGAGTGGTATATGAAAATCAGGATTACTTGAATAGTCGTGTAGCTAATTTGGAGACCGCTCAAGAACAATTATCTCTACTTTTGAAAAATATGAGTAAAGAATTGTCCTCGACCAGTAAGCTTAGCGAAACGATGGTTGAATTATTTGAAACTGTACAGACATTGGAGGACAAGGTCGATGGTAATGGATCAGATACTAAAAGAGAAATCGCAAGATTGGATATTAACGCCGCGAGAAAAGCAGCTGAATTGTCGTTGACTAGAGAAGAATTATCGAATCTTCGAAGAGCTGTTCAGGCGCTCAGTGTGAGTGCCTCTAAGCTCCAAGAAAGAAGCGATAGACATCAAATATCTATCGATTCACTCAACGATACCCTTAATCATCTTGACTTATCGTCATCTATAGAAAAAGCAAGTAACATAACTCACGAGCTTGAGCAGGTGGAAGATCAGTATCGCTTGATCGTCGATGCCTTACCAGGTAATTGCGACGAAAGAGATGGCCTTACTCTCCTTGCACCTGGTCCAGGTGCACCGTTACTAGCCTCGTGTCATAAGGGATGGATCGTTATCTCAAGACGCATCGACGGTATGATCGAATTCGATCGTACCTGGAACGATTATGCAGCGGGTTTTGGTTCACCGGTTAATGAATTTTGGATAGGCAATGAAGCTCTTCATAGACTTACCCGAGACAATTGCAGCAGGTTGAAAATCGATCTGATGGATATATATGATACACATTGGCACGCAGAATATGAATACTTTAATGTTGATACCGAAGAATCCGGTTATAAGCTCCATGTTTCCGGTTATTCCGGAAATGCAACCGACGCATTGTCCTATCAGAACAATATGGCCTTCAGTGCTAAGGACAGAGACATGGATATTAGTTCCACCGATTGCGCGGCTAATTATCACGGTGGCTGGTGGTTCAGCCATTGTCAGCATGCTAATTTAAATGGTAAATACTCGTTAGGGCTTACTTGGTTTAAATCTAACACGAACGAGTGGATGGCTATCGCTTCCTCAGAAATGGCGATACAAAGAAAACAGAACTGCCGATAATTTTCTTAGGTTCATTTTTTACCTTTAATCGATTTTGCTATTAAGGGCCAACTAATTATGATATTACCAGCCTTTCTTTTATTTGGTTCATTTTTTTTCGCAAAATTGAATGTCAGAATTCAATAGGCGACAACGTTAATATTATTTTCACGTGCTTGCAAAAACTTGAAATATTTATTTATTTTATGTAATTTGCAAGACATTCAATTCTTCGCTATTCTAATACCAAAGAATTGTATTAAGTCCATTGTAAATAAATTTATTGTATAGCTGAATGCATGCGATGCCAGACGATATAATCGAACTTAATACAAAGTTACAAACAGGATCAGAGTGAAAGTAAATATATATATATGTAATATATATAAATGTATATATATATAAGTATTTTTAATTTAAATAAATTGAATACATTTTAGATGTTTGATAAATTAGACAAAGAACAACCTTGGAAGACACATATTAACTGTAGGATTCAGGTACTTAGGAAATTATGTAATATTTAAAACTTTTTCAAGTTTCATTTGAGTTCTTCCTTCCTTATAGATACAGTATTATCACGAGTAAGTCTAAATTTGCATTTTTTCTCATGTACAAAAAGAGTACCAGAATTAGCATAAGCTGATCCGCATATTTTGCAAACAAATGGTTTCTCTCCTGTATGAGTAAAAGTATGTTCCTTTAAGTATCTTTTTCTTCTGAAAGATTTACCACATACCTCGCAAGGATAATTAGCTTCTCCCGTATGAAGTCTTAAATGATACTTGAATCCATTAGGAGATGCATATGCTGCACTGCAAATATGGCATACAAAATCTTTATTGCCGTTATGTGTTTTTTCGTGTCTCTTTTTGTAACTGAGTATAATAAAAGTTTTATTGCAAAATTGACAAGCATATGGTTTGGAATCATTGTGAGTTTTTAGATGCCTTTGTAATCCAGATTTAGATACAAAAGTTTTACTACAAACATCGCATAAATATTGTTTTTTATTTTTTATAGATGGTACTTTACCATGTATGCGCAAGTGCAAATTGAGTTTGAGTTTTTTATTAAATGACATATTGCATATTTCACACTTAAATATTCTACTGCATTTTTGCTTGGTACTTTTTTCATTGATATGAAGTTTGGTATGCTCGAGTAATGCTTTTCTAGATGTACATTCTGTTTTACAAAGATTACATGTAGAAATCTGTCTATTTTTTAAACGATTGCTTTTTCTTATACCGACAGTTTCTAAGTCTCTCATACTTGCTGTCCACTTGTATTGTAATTGTGGCTTATCATTAGTTTCAAAAGAATTCTGACTATCAGAACTACTTGAAACTGCATGATCTAAATACTTAGAGCTAATTATTGCATTGTCATCTTGATTATGATCATCGTTAGTATTAAAATACATATTGAAATTATTTTGTTTTTCTATTTTCTTAGCTTGCGTAGACAAAGAAGGCTTTTCCATTTTTTGGAAAAATGTTGCATTTGTTATGTCCGTTTGTACATAAATATCCTAAAATCATATATCTACCAATATCTATGCCAACAACAAAAAATACTTTTATTACATACCTGATATATTTTAATACTGTTTAAATTAAACCCAACATTTAATTCCACATTATAATATTCGCGTAATGTATTATCAGATTTTTTACATTCTTTTCTAAATTCGTGAAAAGCTTCTAATTTTGTAATACATTCTATACATATTAATTTAGGTAATATATCGTTTTCTGATATCTGAAACGTGTAACGGTAGTACTATATACATTTAGCACGAAATTTTGATACAAAATATATACAATTTAATATCCATATAAAATATTCACCTCTATAGAACAGCAATTTATAATTTGTAAACGTAGTTTTTCGTTGTCAAAAGAAAATATAGACAACATACTTTCTTCCTTCGAAGACATAACCTACAGACATTCTCCATTTTTTTCATATCACAATTTTTATTTACTAGAAATATTTTTACTCAATTTATTTTATGTTTCAAAAATTTTTTTAAATTTATTAACATAAATGTTGTGTCGACAGTAGAACAAGAGAATTGGCATTTTTGTATAAAAAATAATTGTAATCATTGGCTTACATTCAAATAAAGGACTTTATGAGAAGCGCGCGAAAAATTTTCAAATCTTTGGGAAACAAGGTTAAAGAATTTTATTGTTGGATTACTCAACATATATACGTGTATTGCGCAATTAAATAAATATTTTATTTGCGAAAAAAAGAAAAAAAAAGAAACACGAACCACAACACACATTTCACTGAAATGTTTCAGACAAATTGTAAATACCATTTAATATAATCTACTTTAAAACGAAATCTTTATTTATTCAATTAAAAAAACATATGCACAAGTCGTCAGTCGATCTTGCAAATAAGTCACAAGTGAACTATAAAATTATTTTTCGACGATGACATAGCATTTAACATAGAAATTCAATTCTAAATACAAACGATGGCGATACTAGCGCTCTTTATTAATGATGTAACATGTAGTATATTTTCTAATTTCAGATGTATTTCTATGAATATGTAAATATAAAGTGATATTTTTTAAATTTGCAAATAATGATCGAAAAAAGATATGTATCTTCGTTTTTTGCCTGATCATTAGAAAAAGATTTATTTGGATCGACAAGCATGTCGATAAAATGAAAAGAAGCTATTATACGTCGACCAATGATAGTTCTTTGTGCCGTATGATACGTCGTATTTGCAACTGCTTGGAACAACCATATGGATTTTCTTACTTTTGCATACGTTAAATTTCATCTAACTACATTTTCTTATCGTAAATTATTTCTTAATATTTATTAGCTTGATATAATAATGATGTTAAACTAATAAGTTTAAAATTCTAACGAAAGCATATTACAAACGGAAGTACGTAAAATTGAAGACAGTATCAAAACGCCATTTTGTGTATCCTTTCGAGAGGAAGGTAGACATTCTGATTTGAAAAAAAATACTGAACGCTGATATCTAAACATTTTCTCTATTCGCGAGATTGTGCGAAGATATTATTTCTTCTTCTTTATTTTACTTCGATACATTAAACTGCGTTGATGATTGGGATTCCGCGAGACGACCGACATAAAATTACGGTTAAGATCCGCAACAACATGAAAAGAAGTTCGAGTCGTGATACTCCGCCTCCTCGGGTGAAACGAAGTCGATCTTCCATGGGACGGTGAGCATTAGTTATTTGTCCTCTATATTTCAAGTAAATTACAGTCTCCTCGTTAAATCTTGTATTTTCTGACGTTATAAATACTTTCTATCAATGTCTCCATTATTGTTTAATTAATTTAATATTTATTATACATTAATTTATATTTACGTATTAAATAATATTTATAGATTAAATTAAAAATTACATTAAATTATGATAAATTAAGATTTATTTTACATATTTATATTAAGTGTGCGTGCATACGTGTTTGTGCGTGTGTCAGTGCGGTGTGCGTGTGTGCGTGTGTGTGTATTGTAACATTATTTTTTACATGGAATGACACTATTTATTTTATTAAATATTATTGTTTTTAGGTGAATGCAAATCATACGTATCATTGTCATACTTTTATTTTTTTCTATACTAGTTAATATCATATTCTTATCAATTTATAGATATGATGATTCAAGTGATGAACGGATCACACCGGAACGTATTCGACGACGTAGCAGAGGTGCTAGAAGTCCTAGTCCATCAGCAAGAGCGTCATCACATGCGCGTTATGTAGAGTCAAGTTCCCATCGCGATGATTATTTGCGTGCACCTCGTGATTTGCCACCAGAACGACCGTACAGTTATAAAGTTCTTTGTGTCAGTTCCATTCATCCAAAAGCCAGTGATGAAGTAATTAAAGATACTTTGTATAGAGAATACAAAAAGTTTGGTGACTTTTCTATAAGAATTTCTCATGAATTAGATGAACGCGTTGCTTATGTGTGCTTCAGGAGCTCAGAAGATGCACGAGATGCAAAACATGCTAAACCACGAATTATAATGTATGATAAAGTAGCTTTGGTAGAACCAGTCTATGAAAGACCTGATACATATCGTAGACAAAGATCTGTTTCACCACCAGATTATGAACGGTATTATGCTAGATCTCCAGGTCCAACAGATAGACACAGACCATTAGATAGATATGAACGCGTATATGGGCCTCCTGTAGGTTTACCCCCTCATCGTGAAATGAGAAGAGAAACAATACCACCACCTCATCATGAATTTGTTAGGCCACCCATTCATCATGGACCGCCTCATGTTCACCCAGGTCCCCCTCATCATTATGGTCCACCTAGACATATGATGCTTCGTCATCCTGTTCATGGATTTGAACGAGTTGAAAATAAGAAAGATAAATTCCCAAATTATCTCCATCATGTATCTCCGGAAGATGATCCTCTTGCAACTAGAACTCTTTTTGCTGGTAATTTGGAAATCAATATAACTGAAGAAGAATTACGTAGAATTTTTAGTAAATATGGTATTGTTGATGATATTGATATCAAAAGACCACCACCAGGAACAGGAAATGCATATGCTTTTGTACGATTCCAAACATTAGATATGGCTCATAGATGCAAAGTTGAACTTTCTGGACAGTATATAGGAAAGTTTCAATGCAAGATAGGATATGGTAAAGCGACTCCCACTACACGAATATGGGTTGGTGGTTTAGGTCCTTGGACTTCAGTACCTCAATTAGAAAGAGAGTTTGACAGATTTGGAGCAATTAAAAAAATTGATTATATAAAAGGTGATAGTAATGCATATATTCTTTATGATTCTATCGATGCTGCGCAGGCTGCTGTAAAAGAAATGCGTGGTTTTCCTCTTGGTGGTCCTGATCGAAGATTAAGAGTTGATTTTGCAGATGTAACGCCTGGTTTTGGTTTTAAACCTAGATCATACCCTGAAGATAATGCAGATTTTAGACCACGCTTAGTAGATTATGAATCACCATATGATCCTTATGGTCCTGAAAGTGAATTTGGTTATGGGCCAAGAGGATTTCGAGGACGAGGAAGTGCGCCATGGCATGAAAGAAGAGGTGGTGGACGAGGTGGTTATCGTGGTACTTGTCCCGAAGGTTATCTTCGTGATGAAGCTGATTGGTCAAATCGCAGACCACCACCAGAATTGGAATATGAAACTCCTCGTGGGTTAAGAAGGTCATTATCGCGAGAACCGGGTGTAGATCGGTCCAGATCTAGATCACCACGTAGAAGACAAATGGATTCAGATTCCGATTCTGAGAATACTCGCACAGGAATGCTTTCCACATCTCGTACCTTACCTGAAGTAGCACGAAAATCCATTGCAGTTTGGCAAGGTGCATTAATATTAAAAAATTCACTATTTCCAGCTAAATTTCATCTTACAGATGGAGATACAGAAATAATAGATGCTCTTATGAAAGATGAAGAGGGTAAACATATGCTCCGAATAACACAGCGTCTTCGTCTTGATCAACCAAAGTTAGATGATGTATCTAAAAGAATACAAACTTCCAGTTCGCATGCTATATTTCTTGGTCTTGCTGGATCAAGTGGAGCTGTTACAAATGATGATGCTAATGTTCAAACACGACCACTTCGTAATTTGGTTTCTTATTTAAAGCAGAAAGAAGCAGCAGGTGTTATATCGCTTTTAAATAAAGATACAGAAGGAACTGGAGTACTCTATGCATTTCCACCGTGTGCTTTCTCTACAGAGCTCCTGAAGCGTACATGTCCTAGTTTAAGCGAAGAAGGTTTAAAAGAGGATCACTTGGTAATTGTTGTTGTTAAGGGTGGCAGTGCCTAAATTTTAAACAAGTGACATAAAAACAGTTGCTTTATCCATAAATAACAAAATTATTTCATTGTTTTAATACTTTCTATGAAAAGTATTATTTTGATTCAATTGGTAAGGTGGTATAGAATGATGTACAGAAGTTATAACAATGATTGATGCTTTTTGATCTATATAAGTATTATTATCACAGATTTGATTGAAATATTTTTGAGATATTTAATAGAATCATTTCAAAGTATGATATACCATTATGATTTTTTTTTTAAATAATAAGTTACTTAAATCAAGATTTATGAAACAAGATATGTATTAGGACATAAATAATTTGTGCTTATACAGTAAATATCATTTGAATATTATTAATTTTATTTCTCATATGTAGATAATATATAAAATAGATGCACTTGATTCCGTCTAAATATTCAAAGTAAAAATAGAATAGATTCACTAATTAACAGAATAACAAAAATATATTAAAACGTGAGTTTGAAAAATTTTAATGAATTCCAAATATCATTATTTTCTACTATAATATATATGTTTCTATTCTAATATTCTAATAATAGTAGTATATTATTATGTACATCTTACAGAAAAAAATCAAAGTAAATTCATCAAAAATAATAAAAATAATACTTATATTGTATCAAAAAACATTTCCGACAACATTTACTTGGTAATGTTTATTTGAAGTGAGGAATTCTAAAGTAATCATAAAAATGATGTACATCATTTTTAATAAGGTATCTTTACTATAAAAATCTTGACATAAAACAATATTATTACCCTTATAATCAGAGGTAAATGTTTAACTACATACATAGTATAAGAATTTATCTGTATTATACACATATATCGGTATGTTTAACGATGATGACGTTACTGTACACAGATCTTTCACATTTATAGTATATAATTTTATTACCATTCTTTTTAATACTGTCAAAAAACATTGTGACTTCCATATTTATATAGAGTCTTATTAGATGTGTTTATATCAACAGGAATTGACTTTAATGTCATTGGTTGAGACAATAGAATCCAAATATCTTATCATTATTATAAACAGAAGAAATGTAATTACTCTCTGAGCCTAATGATATATTAAATATCATCTATTTGTTTGACAGATTATTCATATTGCAGTGATAATGACTTAAAAAAAATCATTTTGATACAAAAGTCACATATATGATGAAAAATGATAAATGATTACTGGACATATGTTGCTGCATTTTAACAGCTGCATTAATAAATTCAAAAGAGAACTTTTATATCTCTCTTCGGCTAATAAAGAAGCCTTTGAATGTACAACAGTATATAAATTATGTATTCATATTGAAGAATGTGAAAGGCCTGGTTTGAAAAAATATGTTAGATAAGGACTATCGATTCATAGTATTATGATTTAACTCACATTTCCATGAACTTGATTTTTGATTTATATCTGTAGATTCTTTTGAGTGATATACCACTTAAGTGATTGTGCAGTAAATATTTTGTGCATAGTTTCATGAGTTTTCAAAGTTTAGAGAGTGTCTGAGAGTGAAGATAGTGAGGAAGAGACAGAATATGCTTACTCTGCGTAAAAAGTTGGTAACATCTGTGTATCACCGAATTGATTACAAAAGTTCATGTTAAGTGAGGACGTATTATCTAAAGGACAGTGTTTGGTGGTAGTTAAAAAACAAATAATAATAATAAATAAAAGGCTTTGAAAATGTGTACAGTGATGTAAAAAAAAAAGTGTTTGTGTTTCGTCTTTGAGTAGGGGAGATGCAAACAAATGTTTCTGAAAAATAATAAATATTTCAGAAACAATGTATCATCTAAACCGTACTCAAATACGATTGAAGGTGCAGTGGTTAAGTACACCTGGTGATCGAACAAAAATAGATGACATTTATGCAGACAAAAATAAAAGTATGTGTTGCTTTTCTTGATACCGTTATCCATATACCAAAGTCAAATCTTCGTACAATGTCATAAACAGTGTTACATATTTTTAATCAAGTTTTTATTCAGATTTATTCAAATAGATAAATTTGCAGAACAGATTAATTTTTGTTAGAGAACTAAATGGAACATTTAATTGAGATAAATATTGGGAAGACATTATACAATCTTTCAAATGAAAATGCATGCTCGTGTGTTAAACATTAAGTTGGAATGCATTTTATTTTTTGAAAAGTTTTTTATGCAATATTAATTTTTTTCTTTTTCTTTTTCTTTTTTTTTTTTTTTCCTTCTTTCTAAAAGTGAAGTTCATAGTGATTATGGTGTTGTGATTTGTTCTTTGCTAAATGACGATATCAGAAATACCAAAAAGCATAATAGATTGCAAATTTTTAGTGCTTGTGGCTTTTGCAAATTATTTCTTTTTTAGGGATGAAGAAAAAAAAATCATTTTCCTTATAGTTTTCATTATCAATAATAAAAGTAACAATTTGTGATTTGTGTTTTCTGTGACACGTGATATTTACAAACAAAAACAAGCAGACATATAACTGGGTTATGAGTCCATCTCATTCTGGTTTACAAAGTTTTTAATACTATGAAAAAGTATAGTTAGTTGTGATATCTGCAATGTATTGAGTCCAATATTGTGTACTCAATTGTGTAGTTCTATATCCCTGGGAACGAAACTGGCAAATGGATCTTGAGAGGAAATACCGAAGACACAAAAAAGGTTTGGTTAAAAAGTCTCTATTTTATGCAAAAAAAAGGAGAAAAAAAAAATAAATAAATCATACTAGCACATTTTCTAATTGTAACAAAATCGTAAAGCATATTATTTCCTTCATACTCCTTATATTAAAAATAGCACTTTAGGGAAAAGAAATTAATTTTTACAATCCATTAATCGTGAAAATAATGTACAATTAAAAATATGGCCTCAAAAATTTTGAACTACAAAACAACACTGGTTTAATGACATTATTTTTTAATAATAAATCGAATATCAATTCAGCTTTTGAGATATTTGACAATATTGTTTGCATATTTTAATGAAATATTTTAGTATCTAGAATGAGATCAAAAATACGAGTTCAATGTGCACTTTACATTAATAACTCAAGATGATCGAAATAACCTCTATTCATGTAAGTATTACTTGACTTAGTTAAAAGAATCATATTGTAAGTAATTTTGTAAATATTATATAACATTTATATATTTTATTATATATAATATATAATATTATATATAATATACAATATTACATAATATTAATACAAAAAAATTGCATACAAGTCAATGATATTTGATAACAATACAAACATAAAATATTTCTTATTAATTAACAGAGAAGTATAAAATTTTTACGAGCAGTATTATGTATCTGTGATAACAATTGTAACATAATAATATATAATAATAAATTAATTTTAGAATTCTAGGAGATGATCTCAATTTCAGAAGAGAAAGAGGAGGAGATATTTGATGAATTTATCAGACGATATTAACATTGAATATAATCACGAATATATATATACAAATTTAATATATTTTTACATTACGATGTAATGTACTCTACATATACATATTTCAAATTTATATTTTTATGTCAAATATATAATAAAAGTGATAAGAAAATATAAGAGTAATGATGCATTATATGTCCTTAAAGAAATTTATATTTGATTTTTCTAATAAATAAAAAAAATAAATGAAATTAATTATTTAAATGATTATCATGATAACGTAAACCTATAAATGTAATAGGAAGTAAATTGACCAATGAAATTAGATACACAACTCGATCGTTTTAAGTTTATTGATTGTTGGTCGGTTCGAGTAGTTGATTGGTTATCTCGTAATATCGCTCTTCCGTCTAATGCCAATGAAGTTACACCAATGGTTGTGTTGGTTTCCAATGTAATTCGATCAACCAATCAGAAACCTTTCATGAGCGACCTCTATATAACAATGTATCAAGTCTAGCGGAGACACGTGTACTTTAATACGAGCCGGAAAGAGCCATTTTCTTTGGAAACTGGAGAAGTAGAGGTCGTAAGCCAGCGTGGCCGGTGTGCCAGCGCACTGTATAATATATACTGCCATGATGGCGGGTGAGTAATATTTTATCGATAAGAAAAATTAAAAATTGTTTTTAAATAATAATATATCCATCTAAATTTATTTTTTATCTGCCATTGTATAATTATATATATATAATTATACAATGTGTTTCTAAAAGTATTTTACGGTCTTATTGTAAAGATAGTATTAATTTCTTTGCTGAAAGATTATTTCGTATGATTTATTTTTATATATTTTTTCCATGTTTTTTAACATATTTTTACTTTGTTTTGTGCAATCAATTTGTCAGGGACAGGAGGGTAGTAAAACTAATTTATACTTTTGTTCTGTATTTATAGCTATATTACTTTTTTTGATGATATCAATTCTATCTGCTACTTGTACGGTAACAGAAACAGTACCATCGGTCATTTCTTATCTATCGGAAAATGATAAAATACGTTTGAAAAATGTTGTTGATCCTGGTTTGAATTTACAAGATCCAACTTCAACCTATTATAGTGTGTACGGATATAAACTTCTTCAGGAAACTATACCTAATAAAGAAGTAGGTATTTTCAATTAATAAATCATTGAATTTATTTAATTACTTTTGAAAGTAATGATGAAAAATATAAATATTGAAATACATTGATTCTTTGATTAGTCTTCCTGATGTTAATATTGGATATAAAAAATTAAATTATATATTTCATATTTATCAATTGATAATTCTAAATACAAATTACAGAAAATTTGTAATTATCTATCAAAATCTATTGGAGATGGTAACAATGTTGTACCAGAAACAGCCTTTTATATTGTATCGATGTGGAAAATTATCGATACATGTCAAGGTTTACCAATACCTGCAATTACAAAGGTACTTTCATTATGATATAAGTAAAATTAATGATTAAGAGGCATAATAGTTAATGATGCTTTATAACTTTCGTTCTACTGTAAGAACAGTGAAGAAAATTTCTTTTACTGAAATATTATATTTATCTTGTATAAATTGTAAAATTATATGTATAATACATATTAATTGCAAGGTTTTTTTTATATAGGTTTTGATGAATACTATTGAGAAAGATACATCTACATTTGCTGAATTATATTTTGCTGTAAATACTTTAACACTTTTATCACAAAAATTAACTACCGAAAAATCCGAAAAATTAGCTAAAACATTACAAGTAGCTCTCAGAAAAGATGACAGTCTGTGGAAGTAAGTGTTAATTAATAAATCTTTTGATTTAATTGTTTTAATTGCTAATATTGGCATGAGATATGGACCAACCAAAATCTTATACATTTATTATAATGATTGTATAACATAGTTATTCTATACTTATGTTATACGTACATCTAAGTATGAAACAAAGTATTTTATATTTAGTCTTGGATATACCTTCCACATTGCTTCTGATCTTGGATCTGTTGGTACATTTGCTTTTGATCGTATCGAAGATGCTATCATTCAAGCAGATGAAGTAAATGGACAATTCTTGCAATTTGAAGGTGGACTGTCTATAACAAGTAAGTCAAAATAAAATATAAAGAATTTTATATTTTATTTATATCTACCTAATATATAATAATAAAATTAACTAACTTATGATATTTTTATATAAATTACAAATTATTTTTAGGTTTTCTTGTAAATGGTATCTTCAAGCTTGGTAGTTCATTAAAGAAAAGACCACCTTTGACATCTCCACAAATTGTTAAGCTAACAAATTATCTTTTGTCAAGACGATCTGTCCAAACTCCAAAAGGTGTTGTAAGCCTCCTTTCAGCATTAAATACATTAGCAGTAAACAAATATGAAACATTAGTTTGTATTACTCTACCTGAGGAAGGAGTTATTGTTTCAAGCAAACAACCTCTTGTTACTATTAAAGTTTGTGATATTTTTGGTAAACCATTGCCAACAATACCTAAAGTAATTGCAAATTCTGCTACAAAAGTAGAAGATGATACTGTTATTAGCAGTAAAGAAATATTACAATCTTCAACAACAGACAAGTAAGTTAATTGGGATTGGCATTTATTGATCCCCAATGCTTTACTGATTCAATACAATTAGATTGACATCAGCTATACCTTGGGGTATATTAATTGTTGAATGACCCCTTAAACCTTTTTTTCAATATAAAAAAGGTTTAGAATTTCAACAAATAAATTTTTTTTACAATTTATTTAGTTTATTTAATAATTTTCTATCATTAATAGGACATTGTTTATAATGGATTTCATGAAAGCTAAACCAGATCGTGGATTTTATAAAATATCAGTATCAGCAGCATCTGTAACTAGTACTATTAAGGTCAAAGTTCTTTCTGAAGTAGTTGTTGATTATTTAGAAATGGGAACAGGAGATGCTGATCAAACTACACAACCAAAATTAGCAAGGTATTTCAAAATAATAAAAATCATCAAATTTTATTATAAATAAAATTTTTCATATATTACAGAGTTACATATCCTGAAAAATTAAATCAAAAGATAGAGGCAGATTCTCAACAAAAATTAGTTGTAAGATTTTTATTAAAAGATTCAGCTAATAAAAAACCAATGCGTGTTCACCAAGCATTTATTCGCTTATCACCTGCCTTTATTACTAATATTTATGATGACAATGAAATAACATTTGTAGCAGAGCCAGATAATGCCAATGTTTATAAATTTGATATGGTAAGATTACTGTAAATAATATTTATAATTGTATCATTATTTTAGTTATTTCGATGAGACGACTTATTTATCGATTATATTTTAGCCATTGGCAGTAGCAGCAATAAATTTCGGATATCGCAGTGGTGATTATAACATTGATTTAGTTATTGGTGATGCTGTATTAAGTAATTCTTTTGAATGGACTATTGCTACAGTAAATTTGAAATTCCCTGATGCAGTTGCTACTGAATCGAATGAAAAAAGTGCTTTTTTCAAACAAAAAGCAGATATATATACAACGAAACCAGAAATAAAGGTAATTATCAGCAATCAATAAAATGTATTAAAGCCAATGCTCGTTGGTGATAGAATATTCTAATTATTTATATCACTTCTATAACGTTGGTAAAATAAATGACATCAAAGTAATTGTATCTACATGTCCAAATTACTTCATTATTTGGATTTATGTTATAAACTTTGAATGACAAATTTATATAGATTGTACATAAAATGTATATACGTTTATAAATTCACAACATACATAAAATAATGAAGGCTAATTTGAAATTTATAGCACATGTTCCGAGAACCGGAGAAGAGGCCACCAGCTTTTGTATCCAATTTATTTACTGGTCTATGCTTAGCGCCTGCCTTTTTATTAATTATTCTGTGGGCAAAACTCGGTGTCAATATATCTAATTTCCCTCTATCTATTAGTGCTGTTACATTTCATCTTGGATTAGGAGGTAAATTTAAGTTTTCATTGCTAATTTTTTGATATAATTTCGTAACTGTTAAGATTTTATAATTTTGACATTATGCTCAATGCTTGACAGGCAATATATTTTATATTGACTTGTTTTCAATTGAGCAGAAAAAAAAAGTGAATTTTTCGCAAGTATAGTACGTTTCCAGCTATATTTGTAGCCTGATATTCTCAACATTTTATATATGTTGTACACACAACATTTTATATATGATGTACACACAAGTATAAAAATTATTTCATATAAAAATTGTTTGTAGGTATCTTTCTTCTGTTTGGAATCTTCTGGTTGAAATTGAACATGTTTGTGACGTTGCGTTATCTTCTTGGACTTGGTGTAGTTACATTCCTTGCTGGTAACAAATTGTTGTCGAACATTGCTCACAAACATAAATTATCGCACTGAATTATAAATGAAGGTTCCTTTCACGCGCAAGTGATACATTATTATTATAAATGCATTTTATAATAATGAAATTTATGAACAAGTATGTTATGACAAGGAAGTATGTGTATATTGAAATAGGCATAACTAAACGAACATTCATTTTTATAGATCGAAAGTAAAGTTATCGCTATTCCGATGCAAGTGATATATTTATTGAATATCACTTTACTATATAACTTAATAAACTATTTAAATACGAAATGCAATAATTGTCAAGTACTTTATTTTAGAATGTTATAGTTTTTCTACAGATTCATTTGTACATAAAGACTTAATAAATGAAATTAAAATTTAGATATATATATATATGTTTATATCGCATTTAATATAATAAACAAACAAAAATATGCGATATTAAGTTCAAGAATTTTATTTACATTTTTTATATCAGTATTTTGAAATCAGCAAATAGTTATTTGTTGATTATAAATTAGTTGCATTTAATACAACGAACGTGACATCTCTTGATAATAATTTATTATTTTATAATCGTAAGCATTATATATACTATGAAGTTAAATTTGTTTTTGTTTCATGCAATAAATAACATTGAATCATTTTTCGTAATCTAATAACTTCTTTTCGTAGATTTTCTTTCTCCACCTTTAGCTCTCCTATCGCCACTTGTACTATACCGATTCGACGCCAAAAATTGGTTAAATCTTGAAAGTTATTTATAATCTGTATTTTGTATAACATTTGTAAGTGAAATACATCTCATAAAAGTGTGTCGAAATAAAAGAAGGGGATTAAATTTATTATGTGGATTCAAAATTATATCTTACCTCCGCACTTTCTTTCAACTCGAACGTAGTAAAAATTTGTCTAGAACTTGATTCTTTATAATTAGTGTAAGAATATATATTTTCATTTAGAGTTTCATACTTGTTACAAATTAAAAGAAGTCTCAATAAATTTTCTATTTTCTTAACGAGTTGTTCTAAATAATTTTTGGTCAATTTATATTCAATAGCCGTTATTGTTAATTGAATTCTATCTTGCTTTTGTTCTGTAATCGTTGATAATACAAATTACATTATAACAAGTATTTATAAAAGAATAGAATTTTTTCATATTATATGAACGAATACTTGCCAGAAATGAAGCGATTTTTCATAATCCAATATGAAGTATGAAAGAAATTTTGTTCGTCTATAATATCTTTAAAGTACTTGTTAACGTTAGTCTTATGAGCTGCCATTTTTTCGCGAAATTTTGATATTGTTTCAGATAGAACAGCAATACGTACATATTGTTTAGTTATAATTTGTTGATTTTTTTCATCCTTCTCTTTTACAACATCATATAACTTTTGCCTATTTTTTGTATCTAAAATGTCCTATTTATATGACATATAATGTCTCAACATACGAAGAAATGATATAAAATATATTGTACTTTTGTAATACGTAGCAATGGTTTTTCGTAAATCCGCTGAAAGATCATTCATTTTATTCTCTTCCGTAACTAATGCCAATCTTCGCATATTAGTTTTGTCCTCAACGAAAGAATCGATCTTGCCTTTAAAAAAATTAGTTAAATTAAATAATATCGCTAAAAGTTTGTACAAATAAAAAATTTATGATACGTTAATCGATATCTAATGGACTTATTCAAAATTAATATAATCTTACATGATATATTATATTTTCGATATATATACATAGCATAGAATTTTTTGATATAATTTTGAACATAATAGGTACTTCATCAGTAATATCAATGAAATTTGACATCTATTTTTACACGTATATTTTATTTATTTATTAATATAATTATTTAATTATTTATTTATTAATAATTTTAGGCTTACTCATTGTTTTGCTCTTTGTGTTATTAAGGGAATTATCCAATTGTTCTTGCATAATAGAAATAATAAATTGCAATTGAGATAAATCTTCATTTCCTTTTTGTTGGAATCCAATAATATCGATATTAACATCGTTTAGAATTTCATTAATTTTCGATTGGTAAGTCATTGAAATAGCTCTAGTTTTCATTTCATATATGTTAAATAAACGATCAATCATTTCACTGTGACCATTTTTAGATCTTTCATATTGTTCTTTAGCTTCGTCAAAAGAATTGATTAAAATTTGAATACTAAATCGAATAAAATATTCGTTTTAATTCCTTCTATCGTCGTTATTGTAATTCATAAGAGAATACCTATGATCTTTACTATCAATGACTCGATCGAATGTATGCCAGGCAGTCTCAATATCTTCTTTGATAATAGGCATTCTTGCACGCATCATTAATTCTCGCCATGATTGACGATATTTTTTAGTATTCAATATGCCCATTTTGATTTCACGAAGTAAATGTTCTCTTTTTAATATTAATTGTCGTTCTAGTGCCTTTTGTTGTTTTTCTTCTTTCGTCAATCCTTTTGACCATCGGACGTTTCTTTTTCTTTTTGGAGGCATATTCCTTTTATAAACAATTATTATTATTCTATTTTTATATATTATAGTAATACATCAACGTATAAAGCAATGTGTGTGTGTGTGTGTGTGTACATAATAATAATATGGAACAATAAAAAAATATAACATCTATAATAAAAAAAATGATTTATCATTATAATTATAAATTAAAATAAAGAAATGTATAGCATTGAATAAATTCATATTGAAATTAAGTTAGAGACGCGTTTCTTAATATTAAAGTATGCGTTCATTGCTCTATTGGAATGTTTTATGTATATATATAGTTACGTAACTTTTTTGTATTTTTATATATATTAAATCGTTTTTATAGTCGTAAAAAATTTCTCTTACGTCGTTAATATCCTCGTATCAAATTAATATATGCAGGCTTATTTAAAATGATGGGTATATCTCCTTTAAAAATAATTATTATAAAAGCAAACGTGTAGCCTCAAGCGATTTGAATAAAATCATCAATGAAATGTTCTGTGTTCATAATAACGGAACTCCTTATAAGTTTTGCCTGGGAATTCCAATGATTTTTAATGATGTTGTAAAACTCGTTTAGTTAGAGTAGGTTACGTGATATTATCATTTAATGTTTATACATTTATTGTTTTGTTTTGTTTACTATAGTCTGTTAATTCCTACATTATAAAAATGAATGGAAATTTATTAGAATTATAAATCAAAGAAAGGAAGACAAGTATTAATAATATTCAAGAAGTTTTATCTTAGACTTTGTAGATATTATTTGAATATAAATGTTTGATCTTTCACAACCATTTAGAATAAAACGACTTTGTTGAGCGTTAATTATTTAAGAAAAAAAAAAGTATTATCGCCAAAAGTCAAAGTAAAATTATTCAAATTTGAGCTGGTGGTTACGAAAATGGCCTGTCATTCAAATTAACAAATATTAAAATATATCTACAAAAGAAAAGTATATAACTTAAAACACTTTTTCATAATCTCTGACTCATTAATGATCTACTAATAAAAAAATTAAATTAAAAAGAAGTATGTGTTAAAATTTGAAATCTGAAGATCGATAAGCAGTTAGGATTATTACGTTAAATTACAAGGAATTCATCGGTTTCCAAATAAAAAAAATATTTCAATGTCATTCTTACAAAGGTAGGCCGAGGTGAAGAAAACCGGAAAGATGAGAATGAAAGATAAACTTGTATTTTCTACGAGAACACGAATATATGTACATATATATATATATATATATATATATATATATATATATATATATATATATACGTTTGTATACATAATGTAGGTAGTACTTTGACAGGAAGCCATTGGTAGAAAGAAGTTAAACATTTTAATGACTAGTAAAGAACTCTTGATGGAAGGGGTGGGGGCACATCTTCCGCGATCTTATGCTATAAAAAGTCTTTCGAGAGTCAATCTAGGAAACGGTAAGAAACGTGTTAGTGTTTTTAGTTAAAATCAAGACACGATCTAACGAGGTTCGTAAAGGAAAACTGTGACTTATCATCATATCTAATTCTAATTTTTTACTTTGATATTATTATATACTTTAACGACAGAAAAAATAAATAATTTATATTATTATATAGATAATGATATAATGATTAATTATACAATAATACAGTGTCTACAATAAAACGCTCTGATTTCTTTTTGTTTCGTTTTTAATAAAAAAAATTCGGACATTTCATCGTATACACCCTATGTATTACATTATTTTATAATATTATACAATATTATTACATTAAAAAAAAATACGCAAAAGAAAGAGAGAAAGAGAGAGAGAAAGAAAGAGAAAGTGAATATACAGAAACATTTATTTTTTTGATAGATGAAGCTCCATTACATATTGGCATTAATTACACTTCTGACAGTGGCTTATGCAGCCGATGTCACTCAAGATTTATTGAATTCATCATTGAATTCCCACGATGAAAGTACGAGTCAAGTAAGAGAGAAAAGAACTATACTTTTAGGAAAAACTGCACTAATTGGAGGTGGTGGTACTCTTCTTGCTAAAAAAGCCCTTCTCGTTGGAGGTGCTGCCCTTGGAGCAAAAGCATTGATTGGTGCTGGCTTGTACAAAGCTAAATAGTAAGTGCATACTACCTTAGAAAAACACTAATTATATATTTTTTTAAATATTTAGAATTATTATTGACAATTTATTGAATAATTTTGTTTAGTTTGGGAAATGGTTACGGAGGTGGTTATGATTTTGGAGGCGGATATGGTTACGGAGGCGGATATGGTTATGGAGGCGGATATGGTCACGGAGGAGGATATGGTTATGGAGGTGGCTACGGTTATGGAGGTGGATATGGAGGTGGATATGGACATGGACATTCAACTTATCACGGCTCTTATTGGCGATAATTTTATATACTGTGTATGTATGTATGTATGTATGTATGTATGTATGTCTGTATGTATGTATGTATGTATGTATGTATGTATGTCTGTATGTATGTATGTATGTATGTATGTATGTATGTATGTATGTATGTATGTATGTATGTATGTATGTATGTATGTATGTATGTATGTATGTATGTATGTATGTATGTATGTATGTATGTATGTATGTATGTATGTATGTATGTATGTATGTATGTATGTATGTATGTATGTATGTATGTATGTATGTATGTATGTATGTATGTATGTATGTATGTATGTATGTATGTATGTATGTATGTATGTATGTATGTATGTATGTATGTATGTATGTATGTATGTATGTATGTATGTATGTATGTATGTATGTATGTATGTATGTATGTATGTATGTATGTATGTATGTATGTATGTATGTATGTATGTATGTATGTATGTATGTATGTATGTATGTATGTATGTATGTATGTATGTATGTATGTATGTATGTATGTATGTATGTATGTATGTATGTATGTATGTATGTATGTATGTATGTATGTATGTATGTATGTATGTATGTATGTATGTATGTATGTATGTATGTATGTATGTATGTATGTATGTATGTATGTATGTATGTATGTATGTATGTATGTATGTATGTATGTATGTATGTATGTATGTATGTATGTATGTATGTATGTATGTATGTATGTATGTATGTATGTATATACGTATATATGTATACATACATATATATATATATATATACGTTTTTTCATTATTTTTCACATTATTCATATACATATATTTATTTTACAGAATACAGAATGAAAGTACTCTTGAGAGATCTGTCTGGAAACATGTCTGAACTCAATATTTATGAGAAAAATAATTCTTTTGTCTAATTTAAAAGTTTAAAAAATAGTGTATGATAACAAAAATGTGCGTAAGAAATTGTACACTTATAATTAGACAATTTTTATAATCATCAGTTCATTTATCATTGGAAATATTTTATACAAAAAAAAAACGAAAATAAATAAATAAATATATATTTACAACGAAATAAAAAATTAGAAAAAAAATAGATATCCTCCCAATCATTCGAACAAAAGTTAATGACTTAGAAGAGGCTAATACGATATTGATATCAACGATTACAGCATATAGTAGTGCTGTAATCGAAGCAATGTCTTCGCTAATATTACGTGACGCTAATTTTATATATCGATTTCGATACTCATATTCTTTATCTCGTTAAGGAAGTAGATTTAAATAATCGAAAATGAAAATGAAATTTTCAGAGATTCAAAATCAAATACAAATTAATACGCCAACAGATCAAAATTTGCATTGATTTTTATTCCCTGCTATACTTCCTTCTTACGTAATGTATACGATTTTATTTGCATTATCTAATCGTGAATTTAGTTGTAGAAAAAAAGATGAGGAAAAAAAAAGAAAGAAAGAAAAAAGATCCCAAGCACGTTCGATCACACATTGTGTATACGTTCAATTACAAGATCTGAATCCAAATGAACCTTCATTGAACCATATTCGCTTGTACACTCTCGTGCTATTATGTATGTAGTTGTTGAAGTGAGCAATGCGGATAAAGAAGTCGACTAATCGAGGGTGCGAGACAAGAAAGTGATAGCACATCGATGAGATGGCAAACACAATACGTCAACTTACTGATGTGTGCGAGTACACTTTGTGAAAACGAAAACGATGACCGACATAGAAAGTGTCTGATGTCCACTCAGATTTCGTAAGCTCATACGGAAATTTCACTAATGGATTGGAACAATAGCCCACATATGAAAGTCGAACAAGGACTTACAAAAAAGAAAAAAAATAATTCTTAAATAATTTTATAGTTTTATTAAGAGAACATATTTTTCTTAAGAGAAAATATAGTAAAAAGAGAATGATATATATATATATATATATATATATATATATATATATATATAAATGAACGAGATATCTGTGTTCAATTCTTCAATCTTACCCAAAGTTGGATTTATAATTTTTTAATTAAATACTACAACGTCCTTTTAATTAGATGAGATTTTTTTCCATGTGTTTTAATTAATCGTAACAATCAATAAGAAAATCTTATCGATATAAAGACAGAAAGTCAAAAACATCGAATAAATGCCCAACGAAACAATCGTTCGTGTCCAGAATTCACAATATATTTCTGTCTTTGCTAACCAGGAGGTAGGTTGACTATAAAATCATGCATCCGCTCGCTGTAAGTCACAGTACTTTTTCTTATTCAGAAGTGTACAGTACCAAAATTAAAGGTGAGTAAAAGGATATGTGATTCGGTAATCAGAAAAATCACATCTTCTTTTTTTCTTGGAAAATTGATTAAAAAAAAAAAGAAAATTCTGCATATAAACATAATATCATCTTTTTGATATCGTAGATGCAACATTATACTATCTTCCTGGTCCTAGCTATATGCAGTTGTGTAGCATTATGCATAGCTACGGAAGTTGATAGTCAGTACGATCATCAAGCAGATACATTTAAAACGCTCGATACAACGGGCGAGCTCAATAATGGGGCTGAAGTACATACAAGAACAAAGAGGACACTTTTCTTAAAAAAGAAATTAATAGGCGCTGGACTTTTAGGATTTGGTGTCGGTGTTGCTAAAGGGTATAGATACCTATAATCATTTGTTGAGATCTATCATGATCTTGTCTTTTTTCTTTTTACTTATTTATTTTTTCTTTTTTATTCTATTTTTTCTTGAAATTTTTTTTTCTAGCTACAAACTTGGATATCACAGTGCTCCTGAAATTCATCGTATATATGTTCCACCACCCCCAACTGTTAAATACGTGGAATATGTTGAGAAACCTGTTTATATTTCAAGAATTATTGAAAAACCCGCGCCAATTTACAAAGCGGCTCATTTAGATTACGAACCATCCTGGTCTCAACCTGATCCTTCGCCTCATTATGGGTAATTAATTAATATTTTCTCACGAATATAAAATTAACAAATTTATAACGACATTCTGCATATGTTCTTACTTTTTTTTATTTCTTTTTTTATTTTTTTTTTTATTTTTTTTCTTTTATTTTTTTTTTATTTTTATTTTTTTTTTAGTTCTTGGTAAAAAATATTGGACACTTTTATAAGCAAATCCATAAATCATAAATATCGTTCTGGGAGCTAGTGTATGGATTATTCGATGGATTTAAATGAAAGAAAAAGTTCTATTATTCTACGTTCCTTCAAACTTCTCAATTGACGATTTTTAAGCATGCTCCTGTTTATAACCAAAAATACTGTATTTGTTAAATAAAATGTTGTTTTTATAATAAAACATTTTTCTTATATTTTTTTTTTATGATATATTAATAAAAATTTTTTATAACTATATTAATATAATAATAATAATAATAATAATAATAATAATAATAATAATATCAATCAATCAATTAATATATTATGCTTTTTAAAAAATAGAATTTGAAAATTATACATTCTAACTAAAAAATTAATAGGCAAAAATAGCAACCATTCATTATATTCGTACTGTAAGAGAAATATCATTGTTTTTAAAGAATCTAGATGCTTACAAATATGCTAAACATTGCTTACAGTATTACTTTATCTTTTTAGTCTATAAAATTTAAAAAAAAACTAAATTTTTCCAAAATTTAACAATATTTTAAAAACTCAGATCTCTTGACATAAACGATTGGACACATATTTCTTTATATTCGTCATAAAATCATTTGGTCAAAGATCAATAAAATGATCAAATGAGTAACCGTAGTTTCTCCTTATGAGTATCGTGAAACATATTTCTTTGCGTTTAGAAATATTTAAGAAATTTAAGCATCAGCTATTTACGCACATAACCAAGCAGGCAATCGTTACTTCACCGACATAAACATACCTTTCAAGCGTGTATATGAAAATCAATAGTAGAATACGAGCTTTATCTCTTTTGCCGCAAATTTCAAGGGGCGCCACAGTACAAAACTTGTTCTTCACAAAAACGACATTTTCGCCATTTGTGAGAATAGGTGTAGTTCTTGACCAATTTGGATGAACAAGGTCTCGTTTGAAGACGAAGGTTCAATTTAGGACACCTTTTTCGAATTTTAGAAAAAGCTTTTTATTTGTGTATAAAATATTCTCGAAAAAATACCATTTTTTAACATGATTTAAAAAAAAAATGAAACTTTCGAAACTCCACCGGAACAGCAGCGTTAGACCTTCGTCTTTAAAATGAGACCTTGTTCATTAAAATCGGTCAAGAATTATGCCTGTTCTCATTGTTCGTGTAAACCATTAAAAAAGCAAGAGTAGTGAACAGTCTTAATATATTTTATATAAATTAATATAGTTGATTTATCCAAATTTATACAACAAAATACATACGACACATAAACTAGATATATGGCAATATGGAGTATATTTGTGAGGACGCGCAGAGTTCCATGCGCAAAATCTTACAATGAGTATATTACTAAATATATATATAGTTATCTATGCGTCATACAAGATCGCTGTCAAAAGTTCTTATCTTTGGTGTAGAAGTTACTGCATAAAATTTTATAATTATCATAAAAAAGTGTTTGAGACTAAGATATATTAATAGCATGTATGTTATTTATTATCTTCATTATTTTTTTTTTTTCATTGCCACGAAATGATCATAATTATTAATTAAGAATTTTTTAGTTTTTAAGCTAAAAGACATGGAACAAACAGGTGATCGTCCTCAGTGGCTTATGGAATTGGAAAATCGAAAAAGAAAGGTTGTATTTACATCTTTCACATATAATATTTTATATAGACAAGTTTCATAGTACATAAATAAATATTTCATTTTTGCTATAACAAATTCATTTACTGGCTTTATCAATTTATTTTATAAATGTAATGTAGGTATGCAATTGTTTTTCCAAGTTATATATAACTATAACTTATTTTTCTTATTAATTACATTAGCAAAATATTTTAATATCTATTTTATTTTATTTTTTTTAGTTGACTTTATATTTTTTTTTGTTCTTTTTCTTTTCTCTTAATTAGCCCCGTTTAGCGCATGAAGCCGGAGCAGGAGCACCATGCATGATATGTAACGCTTTGTGTCCTGGTTTAGATTTACATTTTTGGCGAAAAACTTGTAAAATTTGTAAATGTAGCAGAGATGATCATGATGTTGTCAATGATGATTTTCCTCAGTTCGATTTATTATTTGGTCCATCTGGAAAATCAAAAAGAAAACCTATGTGTAAATACTTTATCATCATGTATTTTTTTATTATGAATATCATAAATGAACTTGCATAAAAAAATATCTTATACTAAATCACAATTATATATTTCAGTATTGGTTATATCCAATAAAAAGCAAGCTAATAGTGAAACTGTATTTGACTGGATACCACCAGATACAACTAAGGAACTTGCTGTAGATTATATGAATGCTTTACCAGTAGAAAAATTACCTATTTCTGGATCAACTGGTGCTATATTAAGAAAACAATTACTACAAAAACAATTGCCGTTACACGATATTGATCATAAAGCGTGTGATAAACTAAGTGAAGTAGAGAAAAAAGAGTTGGAAAATTATGTTGAAATTTTGAAAAAATATGCAGGACAGGGCAAAGTAATGAAGGTATGTTACTTTTTTTCTATAACTTTTTATATATATGTAATATTTCTACTATATTTATATATCCCTTTCTTTTTAATATATATAAAAGATGTTAGGTGCACGTCCGTTTGATCGGTCATTAATGACACCAATTAATGCTACGGATATGCAACGTTTTAATTCACAACAAAAATCACAGATATCTGTGACTATACCACAACTTCGAACACCAAGCAGCTTTACAAAAAATATTCCATATTTAAAAGTTCCTTTTGAAAATAGACCAGATCCAAATGTTAACATGGAAACAAAGGATAATGAAAGAAATGTTTTAGGTAATAAAAATATTACATTATTTTTATAAATTATACAAATATGAATATTGTTCCATACTTTATCATGAATTTACCATACTTTTACAGATAATAAATGTTCAAAGCCAGCCGCATTTCATAAATTAGTGAATTCTTCTGTAACTGCGTACGATGCAAATTCAGAATTACCTGTAATTTGTCAGCATGAATTTTGTGAACCTCTTCATTGCAAGTACACAGAAATCAATCCATGTGCTTTACCAACAACAAATCATGATAAATTTAAACATATAGAGCAGAATACTGCGCTTCATAAAAGCAATGTTGATCTTCAGATAGAACCATCCAATACAGAGACATCTGATAAACAACCAGAAATGAATCTCCTCGAAGTTGCAGATAATATTTTAGCAAATGCATTACTTCCACCTAGCGCAATCAATGTACATGACATTGTTAGTAGTACTTTAGATAAAAAGGAATTAATGTTTATACGCGATAAACTCAATAGCAAGTACGGTATGCAAGATAATTCACAAGTTAATCATACACGAAATTTCCCACATAATAAAGGAGTGGACAAAGCAGTCATTATGGACTCTCAAAAAAATCTTTCACCAAGTGGATCAACGCCTAAAAGTAACGTAGTAGATGTGACAAAAAATGATCCTCAACATGGAGTTAAACCCATAACAGCAGAAAAACTTGTATCAAAGCCTATTTCAGAAATGGTTCAGTCTACTTGTGCTAGTAATATTGCACCAACTTTTATTCATGATAAAGCAAGTTCTATACATACAAGAAATAAACCATCTAATACTATTTCACACTCACCACAAACACATAATATTATAAGTAATGCAAATTCACTTGAAAATAAACCAATGTCATCTATAAATGCACAAGATAAATATAATATTGATCATAAAGAAGTGCCTAAGAAATCTGTATCGTCTACATTGCCATCTGATATTGATAATACAAATTGTATAAAGGGCAAATTAAGTGGCATCAAAAATGTACAATCGGCTATTTCTTACTCTGAAAATTTACAAAATCAAGTATTCCCATTCGAGTCAAACTGCAAAATGAACCAGTCTACAGAAAATCAACTAGATATGGATTCTGTTAATGGAGCTGTGAAAGGTTTAACTATTGAATCTTCAAAACCACAAAATTGCGAGAAATGTCGAGAAGACATTAATATTGGTGATGTAGTTGTAACTGTGGATAAAGCTAAGAATATATTATGGCATCCAGGATGTTTTGTTTGTTCTGTATGCAATGAATTACTCGTTGATCTTGTATATTTCTATTATAAGAATCAATTGTATTGTGGTAGAGATTTTGCAGCTCTGTTAGGGATCCCAAGATGCTTTGCTTGTGATGAGGTAAGTAAATTATACAAGAATTGTTATATGATTTGATGTATATTATAATTTGATGTGTTTTCCTTTCCAGTTAATTTTCGTACGAGAATATACCGTTGCTGAAGGCCATAATTATCATGTAAAACACTTTTGCTGCTGGGATTGTGACATTCCATTAGCTGGTCAACAGTATATATCTGAAAATGATCACCCTTTGTGTCTTCCTTGTTATCAGAATACATATGCAAAAACTTGCAATGCATGTAATGCAGTGATTGCAGCTGATCAACAAGGTGTTGCTATAAAAAATTTAAATTTTCATGCAATCGAAATGTGTTTTTGCTGTTATATGTGTAAAAAATACTTACTAAATAGTAGAATGGCAGTCAAAGAGGATAAACTATTTTGTAGTAAGGATTGCATTTCCAAGTTTTCTAACTAATTGAAAAATATTACATATAATTTGATATAATTCAATATTATCAAAATACAATCAAATTTGTATTTCTTATATTTGATAATATTTTACTTCAGCAAAACAGTTTTATTTACCATTATGCCATACTAATATAAGTACATTTTTAATAATAATATAATAATGTTTACAACTATATATATCATAAATAACAGGATTCATTAATAATGCATTTATATAAAATCCATAATTAATGCATACAAAAGTATGCATTTTTATTTAATCCTTTAGTTTATATATAAATATTTTTGACATTTATTTTCATCGAATACAATTATTCTAAACTATAAAAATAATTAAAAGATTTGTTTTATACTTCGACTTTTTTAACATTCTATTTCTTGGTTAGATAAATGGCTAAAAACATAGTAAAAAATCAAAATATCACTTTTGAAAGTATAGTGATTTAATTTTATCTTAGACTTTTTAAGAATTAAAAATATGGTTAATATACTAGAAATTAAAGTATAATCGTAAAACTGATACTTTTCATTACAATAAACATACGATATAATCTATAGAGCAGTGTTTCTCAAGCTTCTGACGTGCGATCTAATGTTTCTAATGTTTAATTAATTCTAATGTTTAATATACGCGGTCCAAGTGTTTATAATATACAATTTTAAAAAATCTGATATACTGGAACTATTGTGTTGTAAAATACAGCTGTTACTTCGGTATCTCGTGAACTGGCAAGAGCATTTTACAGTAATTTTGGGAAACGCTGCTACAGAATATTATATAGATTGAGATAAAAATATGATTGAAACACTCATATTTTTCATTACGATAAACACACGATATAATCTGTAGAGCAGTGTTTCTCAACCTTTTGCCGTGTGATCTAATATTTAATTCTAATGTTTCAGTAAATCTAATGTTTAATGTTGCAGTCCAAATGTTTATAATTTACAATTTTTAAAAATCTGATATATTGGAACTATTGTGTTGTAAAATACGGCTATTACTTCGGTATTCTCGTGAACTGGCAAGAGTATTCTACGAGAATTTTGGGAAACGCTGCTACAGAATATTACATAGATTGAGATTAAAGTATAATCGTAACACAGATATTTTTCATTACGATAAATACACGGATATAACTGTAGAGCAGTGTTTCTCAATCTTTTGCCGTACAACCCAATATTTCTAATATTTCAGTAATTCTAATGTTTTAATAATTCTAATGTTTAATATATGTGGTCCAAATATTTATAATATACAATTTTAAAAAATCTGATATACTGGAACTATTGTATTGTAAGATATAATGGCTGCTACTAAGATATTCACGTGAACTAGCAAGAGTATTCTACGAGAATTTTGGGAAACGCTGCTACAGAATATCATATAACTTGCAAAACATAAAATATAAATATTCATTGAAAAGATTTCTATTTTTACGTATCAAATAAATTTCATAAAAATACTTTTTATCTTATTACAAAAATGCCAAAAATACATTTTTTTTTGTAATACGATTATTACTTCTCATTAATGTAGAATTATATTTATAAATAGATATAAGATACAATTACACGCACACTCATACAAACAATTTATATAAATAAATATTACATATACATTACTCAGAGTCACTGTCAATAACAGTTTGAATTCTTTTATACGTGCTGCGAGCTTCACGATATCGTGATGGAGTTTCTGGTAAGACTAAGGAGTTCTTGTTAGTATTCATACCTTTACGAGAACGTGTAATGCGCCCTGTAAAAGAAAAGAAAATGTAATATAAAAAAAAAATCTCTATCTTTGTGTTAAATTATCATTTTACAAAATGTATGTAATTTAAGTAATAATAATAATAATAATAATAATAATAATAATAATAATAATAATAATAATAATAATAATAATTTAAAGAAATTGCAAGAAAGTGAAATAACCTTCTGATATAATATTACTCTTATCCAATTCAGATACTTCTTTTAATCTTTCATTGCGTTCTTTCACTTTTTTACACTTCTCTAAAGTTGGTCTTCCATGAACTCCATGTTTTTCAAGCAATGATTTTAATCGTCGTACTCTCGCAGCATTAGATTTGCATCCACTCCATATTTCTTGATATGATTTCACAGCTATACCAGCTGTTCTTATATACTTTTTTAATGATTGTATCCTCTTATCATCTTCAGGTCTCTAAAATAACATATTATATTAGAACATTGTATTATGCAATAAACGTATAATAATAGTTGCAGCTATATTAAACATTTCATTAATTTATTTAATTGTACTAACATTAGAACTGCGTTTCTTCTGTTTACCATCTTTTGTTTGATCTGGGTCATCATTATTACTTTCACTTTCACTACCGGATGTTTCTTTAGCTGATGAATTATGCTCTTGTTCATCTTTATTTTTATCAACTGATTTGATTACTTTATCACCAATATCTTTATTATCATTCTTTTCAATGTTATTGCCTTTATCGTCATCATCATTATTATCCTCATCTTCATTGTCATTAATCAAATTTTTATCTTGGCTTTTTTTTGCACCTTGACCTTTTCGTACACCGCGACCACCTCTTTTGGAATCAGGTAAGGTTTTCGTGTTTTTCTTACTTAAACTCTTCTTAGTTTTTTTCTTATTTTGTGGTTTATATTCTTCATCTTGAATATTATTGTCTGAACTATCTTCTGAACCTTCAGAAGACTTCTTTACGGTGGAAGATGTTTTGAGACTTTTTTGTTTGCCTTGTTTAAGATTTTTCTTTGTATGTAAAGTGTTCTTCAAATTTTGTTCATTTGATTCTTCTACTTCAGATGAACTAACATCAAGTTCAGATTCATTTGGCTTTGCTTTTACAATAATTGTTTTTGTTTTTGGTTTATGATTGTCATCTTTTTCACTTTCAGAACTAGATTCTTCCTTATCACTTGCGCATTCTACAGAAAGTTCCAATCCATCTACTACCTCTGTTTCTTTGGTAGATGACATTGTAACATTTAAATTGATGTTTTCTTTAGATGATTCATTTCCGCTATCTTCTTTACATTTCAGTGAAACTTCAGTATTTTCATCTTCAATAGATTTGTCAATTTTTTCAGCAAAATCCTGAAATACATGAAAAAAAAGAAATAATGAAGAAAAAATAGCTCCACACAACTATCCGGTAGTTGAATTATTACGACAGTTAAATTTTATATTATTTATGTTTCAGGAAATATGGATGATTCGACAATATCGCGTTCGTTACATTTTTATTTTCTGTACCAAATGGGACAAATCAGTATCAGCCCGATCAGCGGGGAAGAGGGATCTATTATTAAAAAAAAAAGATAGAGATTCCGCGATCTTCAGAAAATTTTTGGAAAATTCCGTAACCTTCAGAAAATTTTTTGAAAATTCTGCGACCTTCAGAAAATTTTTTGAAAATTCCGCGACCAGAAAAGTTTAGGAATCCCTGATATAAATATAATGCTCAATTATTCTTATTTACTTCGTATAAAAAAAAAAATAAATAGTATTGCACTCTTAAATTACACAAGCGCATACTACTATATTTTACTAAACAAACTCAATAAAATGTAATTTTATATTTATTTCTTACAAGAGAATCTGTAGACGCATTGCAGAAGTCGTCATCTACTTCATTTGTACTATTAGTTGTGTGTGGTGAACCGCTTCCTTCATTTTCTTGTTCTCCTTTAGTCGAATCTGTATGAATTTCATTTGTTGGTGAAGATACACTTTTCTGATTGTTTGTTGAATTTGTATTTTGTTCTACTTCTTCTTTTGTATCATCATTGGTATTGTTTGATGTTGATCCATTTGACGCTGGTAAATCTTTATCTATAGAATTACAAGGCTTCTTGGTAAGTAATTTTTCTTCTTCTGAAGATACCAGACGTTGTCTTTTACCAGTTGTTTTTATTGTCTCATTAGATATTTCTGAAGGTGACATTTCATCACCTGCCTCTCTACTCTCATTACTTTGATCTGATTCAACCATAGTTAATTATGCAATCTGAAATTAAAAACTTTTATTATATTATATGTGGTGAGCTTTGATTTAATACATATTCTTCTTTGCGAGTATTTTTTTATTATTTTATAGATAAGCGAATCATATATTTTTATAACACAGAATCAAGCACCATCAATATAGAACAATACAAACATTTTAAAACATGAAATAAAAACATAAATGTTAATAATTTGATGGACAGTTTTTAAATCATAAGGAATTATCCATTAATAATATATACACATATAGATTAGTTGCACTTAAAAGTGTATAATTTAAGAAAATATATATATGTTATTGAAGTAAAAAATTGTTAAATATTCACTAAATAGAAAAACGATAAATTGCGTTTTGGAAAATATTCTTAACCTAACATGCCGATCGATAATCAATTTTCATATATTAAAACTTAACAATTAAAAATAATTATTTTAAATTAGTGGTTATTATTGTTTTTTATATAATTTCATATAACATACATACTTAAAATCACAAGCGATTTACGTATTCACGGCACAACGTCTGCAAATGTATTCCTTTATCCCGCCTTTTCTTCTTCTATTTATTTCACTATGGCGACCTCGCTTGTTGTCCCGCCATTTCGTTATATATACACTACATATATATAAGTAGTGTCCAATACGTTGCGGTTAACTCTTACTTTTTTTATTGGATACTTTTATGTTTTATAATAGTTTATTTGTTATTAAAAAATGTGCAAAGAATATTTCTACGTAGCAATATTTTATAAACTATTGCACGTGGTATTGATGATATCTGTGAATAATTTCTTATATTTTATATATTAAAATTTTCATTATTAATCTAAAAATGTATTCTGAATCTCATAAAATATTTTTGCAAGCTATCATGCAAGAAGGTATCTTACAAGATGAAGATAGTAAAGAATTAATCATTACATTATTTGGTAAATAATACATTTGTCAAAGTAATATAATTATTATAAAAAATTATAATTTTATTCTATGATAATAAATATATACTACATAATTTTATATATTTCAGGTAATGAAGAAGTGAAAAATATAATTTATGAAATTAATTCAAAATTACAACCATTAAATATGATGATAAAAACTGTAACTTGTGAAATAACAGGTGATACATATTGGGCAGTTACAAGTACAATTCTCCAAGATATAAGTAGGTAAGATGAGATTTTAACAATGAGAATTATTATTTACTTATTTTTTTTTTTACAGTTTTCAGGTACAGTTCTCTAGAGCTCAATTGGAACTATTAAGGAAAATATTTTCTGAGATAATAACATCAACTAATGGCTGTGTATCTAGTACAATATGTCTTAATTTATGTTCATCTCTAGATACAAAATTGTTAAAAATTGATGCAACAGAGTTTTTGGATTATATCGTTGATAAAAAGTGGCTCACATTAAAAGTAATCATTTAATTATTTATAAACTACATTCCAAACTATATTTACAAATAAAGTTATGCCTTTTAGAATGGTCAATATTATATTGGAGTACGCAGTATAGCTGAATTAATGCCTTACTTTAAGGAAACTTATGACAATTCTCTCCACATCTGCAATTTATGCAAGGAAGTTATCTTTTTCGTAAGATATACAAAACATTTCTTATACAATTTTGTATATATTTGCACAAATAAATATTGCTTATTTTTACAGGGTCAAAGATGTATTCATTGTGAAGCTATGATGCATATTATTTGCTTAAAGAGATATGCAGAAGTTATGCATCCTCTACAATGTGCTACTTGTAAGAATCATATAGAAGTAGATGTTATAGGTATATATTTATTGGATTTATACGTATACAAAAATGTATAACTTTTTAATTTTTAATATTTTGTTGGGATTAATTTTACTTTAGGTGAATAAGGAAGAACAGTGATTATGAATAAATCTTAATAAAAAAAAGTAAATAAGAAAATATATTATCAAGTAAATACACAAAATTAACATATATTATGAGATAAGTATGATAAAAAAAATATTTTATTATTAAAATTACAAATTACTTATTATTTTCCTATTACGTAATTTAACAAAAATACGCTTACATAATTTTAATATGTACAGTGTTCTAAATAATGCAAATATTAAATTAATGGTTTTGACTTTGTTCATATTTTTCTCTAAGGTATCTAAGACCAGCTGCTATTTTTTCCTCATTTATAGTTTTATTTAATACATTATTAATACTTTGGCTAGGCTGATTATCCTTGGGATTACTATTATATTTTGAAGTTTTTACTGAAGTATCGTTTCCTCTATAATATATATGTGGATATGTAATTAAAGGAACACTTGTGTTTGTGTCAAGCAACTGTTGTTCTGTCAATGAATCATTTTGTTGATCATTAATATCAGGACATATTTGCTTTGACACATTTATAGAATCACTTGAGTTATCCACTGAGGTATTTTTATTGGTAGATGATATATTAGAAAACATCAAAGAATTAGTTTGATTTGAGGCTTGATCAGATACTATAGTATTATTAGTCTGTGTAATTTTTATGAAATTTGAATTTAAGATTTCATCATTGTAAGCAGGTGCAAATTCTAAATTTCTTTCTTTTCTACATTTATGTACCCATTCCTCTTGAGACATTTCCCGCCAAATTCTTTGATTTTCTAGGACTTCTTCTAATACTTTTATTTTTTGTTCTTTTGTTTTCTTTTTATCCACATTACTGTCCTGATTATGCAGATCATCTTTAGATACTTTATTTTCTTGTACCGAAGAAATATTGTTCACAGTATTTATATCATTAGAAATGTTAGTAGTATTAGTAGAATCATCTTGTAAGTTTTCTTCAGGTTCAGCAGGTAAACCTGCTCTAATTCTTTGTCTAATTTTTGCTGCTTTTAATCTATTTTGTTCCATTTTCTCTTTCAAATCTTTTAGTTCTTTTATATGCTTTTGTTTTTGTTCAGTATCCCTTCTTAAGTTAGTTAAATTTTCTTGTTGTTTGGCTCTTTCTTCTTCGTCTTGTGAAAAAGCATAATATCCGACACCATGCGCACGAGCTTCATCAAATAAAATATCTTGATAATGTATATCTGCTTTTTCTGCAAGCTTTTGCGTTTGTTCCTCCCATTTTCTTCTCATAATATCTATTTCAGGTTCTTTTATCTGTGTCTCTTCGGTATTAGACACATTTTGTTGCATGTGTTTCTTTGTAATTTCTTGTTTCAATAATTCATCTTTTTCACGCATTAGTGGTAGATCTTTAGCTAAACATTTTCTAGTACGGCCAAAACAATCTTCATACTCAACCCAGCTATCATCAGGATCCACAAACCTGTCATCATAATCGTCCTCTTTCAGGATTTCTTCTTCAGATTCATCCGATTTATTAGTAAAGTCAACTAGAAAATTTTCATTACTATTCTTAGACTTTTTCAACTTCGTATATAATCTAGCTTTAGCTTCTAAAACAAGCTTAGACTTTTTGTGAGCATTTATATCTTCTACATCGGTTAATTCTTTAGCAGTATTTTTATGATCATTTTTTACTTGCTTTATCTTACGTTTAAGTTTTGTAGTTTGAGTAGTTTCGATATGTGCCTTAGCTTCTTTTACTTCTGTTTGTTTTCGTAAAAGTTCTGCTTTTAAACCCACTAAAGATGAAAAGTTGACATTTATTTTTTTTGCTACGTTCATTTTTTAATATCTTTTCAATTATTCTCAGTTGAAACGTGATTTCTCATATCATTATTAATATAATTTATATAGATGTCTTTATTTTCTTTTGAATTATATAAACAATAATATGTAATAAATTCCTTGTTTAGTTTTAGGTTAAGTCTTCGTAAAGTTGGATGTCTTTTATAAAGAGACTGCTATAGTAAGTTCGCACATTTCGTCACTTGGTGGCGTTGGACAATTGATTATTTATATCGAATATCATTCAGCACCATGTGCCTAAATAATTTAGCTCTCTTTTGTTTACAGATTTTCTGATATAAATATATAAAAAAAATACTACACATATACACAGTATAATATAAAAGTAAATATTCGAAATTTTTTACTTTCAATTACTTATTTCCTTAAGCATTAACATCTCTATTTTATTTAAGACATAACTTACACAATACTATTAAAAAAAAAAATAAACTTAGGAATTATTCCATTAATGTGATAAATAAGAATCTTGTGAATAAAACGTTAGGACTAGAAAGGATTATATGAATCAAGTCCAATAATATTTTTCATTTAGTTTTTAAAAAATATAACTTCTTTAAGAATGTAAGGTACTGTTTTTCTTCCTTCTTTTTTGTGATAATAGTTTTCTTCCTCTCCGTACCTTTACACCTGAAATTTCATAAATTATTTATAAATTATTTATCAAATTATTGATAAATTATTTATAAATATATAGAGAAATATATATCAAATTCATTTACCATTAACATTTACTATTCACTTGTTGAGGCATTATCTTTTCCATCTGATATAGAATCTTCTATTTTATTTTTATTATTTTTATTTAAACGTAAAGCATCTAATTTTGTTAAATCTTCATTTTCAATATTTGGTAACTCATCAGTATTACTTACTGATTTCTGAACATTATTAGTTTTTGATAATACTTCAATTGATTCTGATTCCTTCTCTTCTTCTGACGAAGATAACTCGGCAGTTTCTAATTCTTTTTCCTCTAGATTTTTCACAGCGGCTGTTATTATTTCCTTTTTACCACGTCCTTTCTTGGAAGTATCTATTGTAGTTGCATTATCTTTATTTACTTTTCTTTGTCTTCCCTTAACTGGCTTAGAATCATTGGTATCTTCAACATTATTTTCTGTTGCATCTGGAACATTATCTGCTTGATTTCGCATTTTTCTAGTAACTTGTGATTTGGGTTTTTTTTCTTCATTTACAGCAGATTTTTCTACTTTAGAAATATTATTTTCTGTTGTTTTAGCTTTAGCACTAGTTTTTTTCTTTACTTCTACAACTACAGTTTCATCTTTTTTTTCTACAACTTTCTTTAATGGTTTTACCTTCGTTTTGGTTTCCTTAGATACTTTTTCAGCCACATTCTTTTTTTTTTCTTTTGTGGATACTATCTCAGTACCTGTATCTTTAGATGTTTCAGTTTTTTTGGCTCTTGTTTTTGGTTTTGCTTTGGCTGTAAGAAACATGAATTCATTTATATATATATATATATTCATACGAAAAAACATTAATATTAAGGATCTTTTCTCTTATACAGTAATCTATGGGAACATTTATTGAGTAAAAGCTTATTTAATATACATAAGTATATTAATATAAAAAAAAAATATGATAAAGTTATTGGGAAAGAAGAACTAAAGTAGAAACAAAAAAGAAAACAGAAAAAATGGAAAATAATTTGATATTACTTAATAAGTTTCTATAAAAGCACTATAATTATAAAAATCCATAGTATCATTTCTTTTGAATGTTATTTCATCTTGTCATTTATCCATTTAATATATTTTCTTTATATTTTTTATAAGTTCGGAGATTATTTATTAAAAGATAAATATATATAAGATAAAAATGCTGACAGTGTCAAGTAAACTAACGAGATAATAAATAAGATAAATGAAAATATAAATATAAATTAATTTAATTGGTTAAAATTGGATGCAGTATATATGTACGTGTGTAAGAGAGAGAGCGAAAATAAACTCTCGTAAATATCGTACCTTCGATGTTGTCCGTTGTTCCCGCCTTTTCCGTAACTGTTTTTCCACGAGTCTTTTTCGCGGGTATTTTCTGAGATATCGAATCGTCCGTTTCAATAATTGGATCATTTGGACCGTTAGACGATGATATATCTTCTATAGCTTTTCCTTTCTTAACGATACGTTTGGATTTCGTTATTTGTTCCTGAGATGAAGTAACTTTCGTTGACTTAGTAGGCACTACCTTATTTCTCGCTCTCGATTTTTTAACAGGTTCAGATTCCGGTTCTATTATTTCTCCGGTTTCTTCCACGTTACGTATTTTCGTAGATCTCATAGATCTCGTATCCTTTAATTGTTCAAAATTTACGGACAAAGACTTGATCACTTTTGTACGTTTTGGAGGCGATACGTCGCCGATTTCCGCGACTTTTTCCACGGGCTCAACATCGGCTTGCTTCGCATTTCTACGTGGTGCCATTTATTCTTCCTTTTTTTTTTTTTATTTTTTTATTTATATATATGTATGCGCGTGTATATATATATGTATATATATAGAGAGAGAGAGATAGAAAGATAGAAGGATAAATTTTTTTTCCTTTTTCTAATTCGAATCGACGATCTTTTATCAAATAATTGTTGGAAATTTTATTACCGTTTGTATATATGTATATGTTTCATCAACGATCCGGTTAATAACGGCCCTCAACGTGCCGCTTTTACCGGTGTTCACAACTTACATGCGCGACCAAGTTAATAGCAGATCCTGAAATCGGTACATCAGCGCCGTCTTTTTTAAACGAAAGACTCGTACGCAATAAGAATTGATTTTTGAATTGATAATTAGAAAATGACAATCGTAAAGGTATCGTTTATAAGTATCTATAACATCGCATTAATTTCCTATCTCGAAAATTATTTGTTTAGAATCTTCTGAAATATCTTTTTTCACGTCTTTTTTTACGTAACTTCATTTATTACTCTGTAGATCGATCTTCTTAAAAATTCTATTAAAAAATATGATCTTAATTACTTTTTTAAATAACGAATGTTAATAATACGAATACATCTCGAATTGATTTCGAATATTAAATTTATAGGTACGATTAGACAGATGTTTTTTCTTAATTGCGTTTAGATTTTAGATTTAAATTTTGTGAAGTTGGCGCCATTTTTTGATACATCTCTATCATTACAGACATGAGTTACTATTTTTATGATTAGATAGAGATTGAAATAGATCATTTAATCTGTCGATATTAAATAAATGTTTCATTATGATTATTCGTATTGATATATGAAAAAAGTATTGCAAATCGGATAAAGCTTTATAGTAAAAGTCGAATTACGATAAGATTCATGTCGATGTATGAAAAAAAATATTGCGAATGATATAAAGCTTTATGCACAGAGGAAATAACAAGGCATTAAATTTCATGTCAGAGGTCGCTCGAATTCATTGTTGATTCTTTTTCTGAATTTTCATGTATGATAATAATATCGTTGTGTCCATACATATATATATATATATGCACACATATATATATATGTATACGCACGCACGCGCGCATACATATATTTGAGTTGTGAAAACAATATATACATACAATTATTATATCAGATTAAACGGAATTATTCTCACGAAGAGATATACTTGTAAATTATTGGACCAATTCTAAAATCATTCATTTTTTGTCAGCTCAATAGGTTTGGATAGAATCGATCATGCGCAGTTAACTTTGAGAATCAACCCCCTTAGTATCGTACACTTTATTATATTCCATCTTATTACTGGTTAGTCCATGGGAAGAAAGGTGCCCCTTGTTGATCAAGGAGGCAGTGAGAAACAACGACGGAAGTGGGGATCGTGCGCCATTTTCTATTTTTGCATAGCAGTGGATTAGTGTGTTGTATGTGTACATTTTGTGTATTAAATCAAGAAAATAATAATAATCATTTGAAGCTGATTTGCCGAGGCAATGAGATGATCGTTAAAAACGCATGTACCAAATATTACGCTATTAGGTTTACCCAATTTATCGTTTGCTTTATTACGATAAAACCCGTTTTCGCTCATATATAAACACTTTTACTTCATGTCCCTTTTCGAGGAGTGAATGGTGAGAAGGATTGTGTTTCGATAAAACAGCGATTGATCATTAAATAGAACAAAAAAGAAAAGAGAAAAAAAAAGAAAAGAAATTTTCTTCCTTTATCATTTAAGGAAGGAACTGTGGCGTATATAAAGAGAAAATCGGTCTGTGATATTAAACAGTACTTAGAATATAACTAAGTGTAAATTCTACACAATTGCGTATACATATATATGTTGTGTGAAACATAGATAGATCGTATAAAGGACTAGAAAGATATTTAAAAGAAAAAGGAAAAAAAAAAAAAAAAAAAAAAAAAAAAGAAAAAAAAAAAGAAAAAAGAAAAAAACGTAGTGTATACTATAAACTTTTCTTGTGGACGAAAGAAGAATGTCTTTGGAATCTGTGACAAGTGACAAACAGCTGCTAAATCAAAAAACAACAGGTATTTAAAAACTTTAACATTTGCAATTTAAAAACTCTAAACTGCACATAAATTACATATTTTTAATGATATATTTATTATTGCTAATAATATTTCAAATATATAAATGATTAGAGATTTTGGTATTGTTATTGATATGATGTCGTAGATATTTCTTTCTATCTCCAATTATTTTCTTTCCGATTCTATGTGCCTTTGCATTTCAATTTAAAGATTGTTTTATTATCATTTCCTTTATTATTAGCATTCCCTTTATATCTTGTGTCTTCTATATTTGCATGAAAAGTATATTAACATATATGATCATTTCTAATGAATTAGATCAATGTCTACAAAAATCTTCATAAAAATTAACTTAGTTACCGGATAAACAGATTCAGAACTATATTCTTTAAATTATAAAAATAAACAAGATCAAACAAAATGATATTCTCTCTTTTTCTTTTTCTCATAAATGTTTTCACTCAAATATGAAAGGAAAGTAAATGATATAAAAATATTATTTGCTTTTCTATAACAATAATCCTTTGACATTGAAAAGAACAAATGAATACAATTTTTTATGTAATCATTTCAGTAATAAAATAAAGAAATGATTATATTATGAGTAAATGATTATGATTATGAGTAAATTTCAGTATATGTAGGAAACAATAGAAAATAACCAAATAATCTAATTTTTTTTTCTTTTATAATAAGAAGTTAATATTTAAAAAATTTTTAATCGAGTAATTTTTACAATCTTATTTATAATTCTTAATTTTTTTAATTGAACAATGATAATAATTTATATATAATCATATATTATGTAGTAATTTTTTTTTTAAATTCATTGAAGAGCTTACATAATTTTCAATGTCTCATAATATACAAAAGTCCTTGCTCAAAACATATTCTTTTTATTTTAATAAAAAATAATAAAATAACATGCGACATTCATAATGTTATAAAACTTTTTATTAAAACTATGACGATTCAAAGTCTAAGCATTTAAAAATTTATAAGACAAAAAATATTTTTTAGATCTGATTAATGTGACGATAATATGAATATTTAAATGTGAAAGTATGTATAATGCATAACACATGTATTATATACGAATGAAATTTAAGATTGAATTTATATTACTCAATAGAATTTGAACATATATAGTATTGCTTTGTTTGTGTAGATATATTTTATTTATTTTTATACATATTGATCGGATATATAACTATTGTAGAGAAAATGTCGTATGTAAAAATCAGTTAAAAGTATTTAATTCAAATAAACCGTAGTCAGTCGTACACTAGATTAATAATAACATCGTACGAATATATGATTGGATGAGAATTCGAAAGTCAAAAGCTTTGTCTAAAAACTTCCGTCGATCGGCCAGTTTGTATCGTATCATCCGAAGTAACGCATCTTCTATCGTGGTTAAATTTAAAATTCTTCTCTATTATCGTACTAGAAATCTGTTTATCTTATTTCTTTTTTTTTTTTTTTTTTATATTTTTTATCATTCATATATATTCAGAAACGTCGTAAGTACGCGCGAAAGCCGCGTAATATCGACTATTGAAGCTACGTTTATTTCTAAAAATTCAAGTTTAACAGTGAATATTCGAGATACATTTCTATACTCTCGTCTTAGTCCTTTTTGTCCTTTATTAGTAAATATTTTGCTTACATGTCGGAACGGTTATAGGAAAAACTGAAGAAGTTACGGGAACGGTACAATCGCAGTTTGTAGCGAACTCTATGATTTAAAGTATATTAGAATTATAGAATAATTATATAGGACTAGTTTGTACAAGTGTAATTAAGTTTTAAGTTATATCAAATAAAATATGAGGCTAGAAGATGCTCATACTTTAGTCGGTTCTAACTGGTACCGACGAACTCGCAAACGTCCGCTGGTCGGACCTACAGGATCTCCATTCTTAGATGCGACTTTGGTAGTACAAACCAGAGCTTGTCGATGGTTTCGTAAAAATAAATCAGTAAATCCGTTAAAACGAGTAACTTTTCGTAAGTATACTTAAAATACATTTATATTGTATTTTATTTATTCATTTCTGCATGGATTCTATATGTATATGTATTTAAAAAAAACACTCTACTTCTATAATTTATCCTTTTGTATAACATCTTTTTATTTTTTTCTATAATAATAATAATAATAATAATAATAATAATAATAATAATAATAATAATAATAATAATAATAATAACGTAATATTTAATATAAAAATTTAAAATAAACATTAGAAAAAAAGAGAGATATTGTACATTTAGATCTCGACGTGTAAAATGTGGATAATTATATATATATATATTATATATATATATATATATATATATATATATATATATATATAATAATTCGTAATTAATGATTCTCTTTTGATATATTATTTTATAGGAGATGATGCAATTATATCGATGTCTGTGGCCGGAGAGGTAACTGATACTTCCATTATGGAAATTGGACGTTCAAGACCTCAATTTCAATATTCTCGGGTACATATCAACCATTTATGAAGATCTTAGATATTTTTTTAGTCTATAATAAATTTAAATATATATTTTTATTAGATATATTATTCAATGAGAAGATACATTATATATTATAAACATTGTTATGTTTTTAGGAAAAATTGATGGTGATAAAGGGTTTACCTTTATCTAAACGCAGACCTGATTTCCTGGATACCTCTTATAATAAGTACGTTTAAAATAATATATATACACATATTATTAGTATTATTTAAAATGGTCATATGTTATATACATTTATTTTTTAAATTTCTTTTTCACATAGGGCTAATGATTTATTTACAAATTTTTTATAATGTTTTTATTGTTTATGAATATATTTTAATTTTTTTGATAAAGTACACGTGGTGTATGGGACCCTGAACGTTGGCATTCAAATAGAAAATGTAGTGACACACCGCCTAAAGATGAAAAAGGTATACGTTCTGAACCAATTACTGAAAATCATAACAAACGTCGCAATGGTGATCCTCGAGAACGAATACGGAAAGAACAGGATGGTATTGTTTTAAGTCCCCAAAGACGAAGTTTTAATTCTGGATGTTTTGTTAATGTGAACCAACCTCCAAATAGACGCTCTGAAAGTCCAATTGGTAAAACAGAGGTAAAATGTGTGCGTGTGTGTGTGTATTTCATTACCATTTATAGGAATTATAAAATTAAGAATATATTAAAAATTTTTAAATCTTATAGGTCAGTCATCGGGAAACAGTTCGACGAATTGGTAGTGGTAGAATTTTGACACGTGACATATGGGACTTCAGATCTGAAAATGAAAAACTTGAACCAGAACGTACAGATTTCTCATTTAGATCAGGTACAAGTGCAGGTAGTACATTACGTGATCGTGACAATAGAGAAAGTAGGGAAACAAAAGATCGTGAAAATATACGAGAGAGAGAACGCGAACGGGATAATCTACGTGACCGGGACGAAAGAAATGAACGATTCGAACGTCGATCATTTGGTCGTGACTTTGGAGATCGTGAAAGAGATCGCGATCGAGATAGGGGAGTGGAAAGAGCCGAGCGTAATCATCAAAATGATCGTGATAAGGAACGCGGACGCGAAAGAAGATTTAGTAATGATCGTAGAAAAAGCTGTGGTGATAATCGTGATGCAAATGAACCTGAATGGTTCAGCTCAGGACCTACATCTCAGCATGATACTATTGAATTAAGAGGTTTTGAGGATATTCCAGAAGAAAAAGTAGTTAGTAATAGTGCCAACGTTAAAACTAAGAAGTTAACAACTGCTCAAAAGAAACGTGGAAAAAGGAATTCCTTAGAGAAAGATGAAAAACAGAATGAGAATACAATTGGTCCTAAAGGACGTAGTACCCCAACAACGCTAGATCAATCAATTAATGTTGTACCTGCACCACATTCTCCTATATCAGAACAAAATGAACCACCATCTGATTCTCAAAAGGAATGTCAAGATACTAGTGATAGCATTATGACAGAATCAAGTTCCGAAATAACTGAGAATTGCAACGTTCGTAAAAATGAAGAAAATAGTCATCCTGATTTCAATCTAGACGATTTCTTAAAATCTGATACTTTTCCTGGTGTTCCTGGTTTATTAACAGTAAGTACAATTATATAAATTATGAGATAAATAAACAATTTTTTTTTTCAATCATTTTTAATACAAATATATCTTTTTTTATAGAATGGAGTTGGTTCAAATGGTGGATCATGTTCTCGATTTAGTCAGTGGTTTAAGAGAGAAAGTCCTATTCAGCAACAAACAGAGAGTCGTAGAGCTTCTATACAGGATGAATTGTTAAATAATTTACTCAATGATATTACTGAACCAAATATTCAAATCCCATCAGTTACTGAGTCAAATACATACTTTGCTCCTATATCACCTGCTAATCCAACAACAAATAATACTACATCTACCACTGGTGTGAAACTTCTTGAAATGTTGCAACGTGGTAATAAGCAACAACATAGTCAAAATGGTCAAGTAGATCTAACAACACCAGTTATACCATTAATGAAAAGTTCTTCTATCAAAGATATGGGTAAGATTGTTTTAAATTATATTATTTGCTTTAAGTTAATTTTTGATATTATAACATAATATATTTGTTTCAATGTACTTGTGATGTAATGCATTATCTACAGAAGTAGGTGGAAAAGTTGTGCATAGCTTGGAAGAATTAGAAGCACGAATGCGTGGCGGTGTTCCTCCACCTTCATCTACAACTGAACTGTCCCGTGTAAATAAGACTGAAGAAGATCTTTCTGCCTTTAAAAAATTGGTAAAATTATGGAACTGTTTATGTAATAGATTTGTTTATTATATATCTTCATATTTTTACAATTTAGCTTGCTCAAGTAACTGGTGGACAGGCTGTACCGGCAGCAAATGGACCTATGCCTCAAAAACCACAATCTGTAACATTAATGCAGGTATTATTTCTTTTTTTATATTTTAGGTCTCAAAACTTTTTATTAACTCTCTACATAAGTAAATTAACTTTTTTACAGTTGCTTAATTCACAATTGAAAACACCACAACAACCAGTTGTTCCACAACAATCAGTTACAGATCAAATTCATGCTTCAACATTCAATCATGTTGGTCCCATTGCTCCTACTCAACATCCACACCAAGTTCAAATGCAACATGAAAACTTAATGAAAGTATTGCATATACAACAGGTTTGTCTTTATTTTATTTGTTATTGATCGATTTCTAATTATAAAAATATCAAAGATTTTTATAATCTATAATTTGTGATATATTAGCAACAGCAAAAACATCGACAACAACATTCTGACATGCTCTCCATGATAATGAGTGGTCAACGATTGATGGGTGTTAGTCCTGTACCAACAGAAATGCAAATGATGATGAATAATGTTGCTACATCTGGGCAAGAATTATTGCAAAGACCAGAAGCACAAGCTATAATTCAAGGTTTGCAGCAAGGAGAGATAACAAAACAGCATCTGATCCAACAATTACAGGTTCGCGAAAAATAAATTTAATTTTTTAATTAGATTGTTTTTAATATTTATTGATATTAATATTCAATTTTTTGCATAAATCTTAAATTGAATAGAATCCTGCCATGCAGCATCGACACCGAGAAGTTCTCGTTAATATTCTTAAAATGTATGGTGGAACTACATCACGTGCGATAAGCCCACATCCAAATGCACCTACTCCACAAGATCACATTTTGCATCAAATGTTATATCAACAGCAGCAGCAACAACAACAACAACAACAACAACAACAACAACAACAACAACAACAACAACAGCAGCAGCAGCAGCAACAACAACAACAACAACAACAACAACAACAACAACGGATCCCTTCTCCCATGAATAATGGTAAGTTTTGTGTATGTTATTCATTTGTTCTCTTTTTTTTCGCATGATTTTCTATCTATTTTTATTCCAATTTTAAAAGTAAAAGACAACAGATATCAGAGAGATATAAACTGAATAATTGAAAAATATTTATAAACATATGCTAATATACAATATCTTATATATCTTATAAATTATTTGTATACGATCGGAATGCAGCTTATTGTCCACCCCCAATAATTTCATCAAATGTAGCAACTAGTCCCAACACATTAACAGCAAAACATTCAGGTAAAAAAAAAAGATAAAATAAATCAAATTTATTTTCACTTATTAAATTTTACCGCATTATTAATCTTGAAAAAACAGGACAAAATTCTATTAAATATGTTTGTAATTTGTACAATAGTTTTTTATATTAATTTAAAAAAAAAAGAAAAAGAGCAAGTAAAAAATTTATTAAAACAATAGCAAATTTTTAAAAAGAATTTTTATAAAAGATAATTTATGTGATTTTAATAGTGATGCCACATAGAGTACCTTCTCCACGGGAACTGGTTATGCATACTCAATCCATAATGCAAAATGCTTTAATTAAGAAGAAATTAGAAGAACAACGTGAGAACTTTCGTAAACGACAGGATCAGCAACAACAGCAACAACAGATTCAGCAAAGACCGTCCACTCCTGTTAATTCTCCAGCAAAGCAAACAATGAGTCCAACACCACTTGCTTTTACGCCAACCTCAGTATTACGCAAAATGACTGCTGATAAGGAGCCAGAGGGTGCGAATCATTTAAATCATCAAGTAGAACCAATTTTCTCTATTTCTTCTCTTTACCATAATAATCAGGGTAGCTTTCATAAGCTTCAAAATCGATGCATCTCTACTTTACAGCTATGCCAATTTTCTGATAGTATAAACAAACCTATAACTTGTGTTTTTAAATGGCAAGAAAATCATTCTAATAATGCTTCATCTATTGCATATACCATGGGAATGAATAATAGCAGTAATCTTGGTACAGAAGAATCAGCATTGAAAACTAAATATCTTTATTCTGTAGTTCACAACCAGGATTCAAACGATAATTCAAATTTAAATATGTTAAAAGAAGGTAAACTAATCGTTGATAGCATAAAGTCTTCGGATAAAAATACAAGATTAAAAGAAATCAATGCAATGCTAGATCAAAATAGTAAAGTAATGGAAGCAATCACTTTAAAAGATAAAGAATGTATAAAACTGTCTATTAGGGATTCATCAATTTCTAAGATTTTCGTTTAAACTCTAACTTTTGCCAAACCATACATACATTCCATCATATTTTGTTTTAAAAAAAAACTTAAAGTATATATTGTTTGAACTAATGTAATACCATATCTTTCTTTAATGTTTTTGTAAAAAAAAAGTACACTTTTCTTTTTATTTTTTTCTTGATACACAAAGTATGTAATTTTATATGTTTATTTAGAAGATATATTCTTTTGAGTTTTGTAAAATGTGATATGAAAACTATCACAAGTATAACTTGGTGTCTATATCACACAGATCATAAAAATTTATCTTTCTTCTAAAAGTATGTGGAAATAGTTCTTATAATAAAAGGCTTTATAAATATATCTCACGCTTTAAGTTTTCCTCTACACTTATTCATTTTTCCTTTACAAACATTCTAAAGTAATTTGTCCTACATATACACGCTTTTAAACAGAAACTATAATATAATACATTTCTTTATATTTATTCAGAAAAAATAATGCCACAAATAATATTTTATATATTTGTATATATTGAAAGTACTTCGTTTATGAAAATAGATATTTTTAATGGGATCATTGTGTTTATTACTATATTTATGTAAAAGAATCTATATGTGTGAATAGTATATAAACACATCCAAATTGCATGTTATATATACAGTATTGTAAATTTGCATGAAATCTGCAAACTGGATATTCGTTTTTATTTATATAAGAAAAAATTATTATCATATGTATCTGCATATATTTTTTTAATTAGACGTAGTAATAAACTTTTTGTAACTTTTGATAGTTCAAATTTATATACTTTAATATGTAAATTGTTCTATATAAATTTTATTATATATCAATTTATGAAATTATACATTTATTTGTTTAATATAGGCAACAGCAATGATCTAGCAAAACTGGCTAACCAAAATCAAGTGCAACAAATGCAGTCTGCAGTCCAGTTACTCACACAAGGAGTTCTTTCACGACATAATACATTGCGACCACAATCTATTCAGTCTACATGGTCTAATCCAAATATTAAGCAGTATCCTGGTATGTTTTTTTATTGTTTAATAAATTATTGATATATTTGTATAGTTTCTAAAATAAATTGTTTAATAATTATTTAGTTAAGGATAATATAATATACTTTCAATTTCAGGACGACCAATAGTAAAAGGTGGTAGCAGTGTCAATCAGTATCAGTACAGTGGTGGCAATTTGGACTTTCAACAGCAGCAGCATAGAACTGTGACGAATGTATATGGCAATCCTGCACGTTCCAAGCATGCTATGACTCCTACAGTATCATCACATCCTAATGTTCCTCAATATAATGTTACTCAAAATACTATAATAAACCAACGATCAAACCATATGAATCCCCAAATGAAGCAGGTTCAACAAGTTCAATCACATATGACTAATGTACATCAACAACAACAGCAGCAATCACAACAAACGCGATCTGCAAACCCACAAGTGCAACTTATGTTGAATCAAAACTACAACTCCAATCGTTCAGGTATGCAGTTTTGTAAATATATTTTAAACATATAAAAGAGGATATTTTATGCAAATATATTAGTGTACATTCTGTTATCGAATTGAACACTAGTTTAAACTAAAAAAATTTATACACGTTAAATGGTTTTTTTCCATTATTATATATGACTATTATATTTTTTCATCTCAGTATTCTTATGATCACATATTAAGTTCCAGATTGATGCTCAAATTGGAATAATTAGAACTCCCATTATACCTGTATTTCCTTCTTAATCCATTGGTTTAATCAGCAATTCCATTGGATTTTAATTAAGTAACGAAATATTGGCAATTATATTAGCTTAATATCTTTTTTTATTACAACATAAGAAATATAACATAAGCACAATTATAAGTACATGATACACAAAATATCTTTTTTTATTTTTTATATTATTTTTTATATCACTTTTCTACGTATAAGTTAATATATAATATATATTTGTATAATGTATATTTTATATTATTTTCTATACCAATTTTCTATGTATAAAGAAATGTAGTATGTGTATCATTAATAAAATGTGTTTTTAGATGGGCGAATGATGCGATCACAGCAATTAAATATCAACGTTGGCCGTCAAAATTCACCAGGTCTTGGATTTATGGGTAGTAATGGTGGAGACTTATCACCAACATCAAATCAGTTAGCACGATGGTTTACTCCTGAACTTCTTGCACAAGCTCGGGCTGGTAAGCTACCAGAGCTTGGTCAAACAAATGTTTTGTCATTGGAAGAATTGGAAAGACTTCAACATGCTTCAACGAAGGTGCATAATTGATTTAACACATTACATTTCATTGAAATTTTTTTTTCAAGTAGTATATTCCTGCTTTCAAATCTTCCAAATTGGATTTGCTTTCATATTAAAGGCATGAATATAAAACATTATTCATATTACAAAAACGCGCGAGTGATTCATATGAAATGGTGCTGGAATTGTGAAATTTCTTGTTACGCAATCTCACATGAAAAGAAGATTTAAAAACAAGCAGATACACAATTGATTATATATTTTAATCTTCAAGCAGCAAATAGAGTGCAGTATTTCTCCTTCTTTTTATAAATATACAAAGTATCTCATAGGTTAAATCCTTCAAAATTTCAAATTGTATGTTAAGTAGGAATTACAAATGTACAGAATAGAAAGTATCATGTAAGATTTATATAGCTATCATGTAAAAGCCATTTATGACACATTTATGTGAACAGCTTTTCTGTAAGAATGATGTATTGCTTATAAGACTGAAACACTAAACACAAAAATTCTTACTGATATAACAGTCATAAAAATCCAGATCTTATTTTAAAATAAGCAAATATTAAATGGCAGCATAATAATGTTTATTTGCCTAAATGTGCATGCAAGAGATTTATTATAATTAGGTTCCTACAATCTAATTATAATGTGAATGCCAACGATTTATTACACATTCATATATATGTAAATTCTGATTATTTATTATTATAAGTAAATATCCTATGATGTGGTACAAAATAATAAATAGTAACACATGATGAATGTTTATTGTTACCACAAAAACTCGATACTTGTATTAGAGATTTCACTATGTTTCTTGCTATATACATATTTTTCTATTTTATGCAATGCCATGATATATAATATACGTATAATATATATATGATATATGATATGCTTATATATATATAAAAAGATGTATCATGACAATGCATAACATGAAAAATTTGCAACATTTTTTAGGCAAATAAGATATATGCTGGTTCATCAAATGAGTTATAAATCACAGTGCTATGCTCTAATACAAATACCTATGTAAATTTAGGCACTGCACATGTCCTATCCCTATAGTTACAGATTTATTAATTCGAAAAAGTATATGGATGGAAGAGACAGGATTTTGTGCTTTTTAAGTTACATGCATATATTATAAAAATAGATATATATAATATATACTTTATAGAGTTATGTGTGTACAGTATCATTCTCACAGATGGAAGTATAAAATAATAATTTGAAAAAGATTTTCAACAAATTCGTGACAAAATGTTTCAAAGTTTTCATGTACTTACAAAAAAGCATGTAGTGAAAACATTTCACCAGGCATAGAGAAACGGGTTTAACGAGATATCTTTGTACATTAAAAATATGTATATCATCGCTGCTGCTGCAAATTATAAGTTTGATTTATAATTATTTTATCATTATCTGGTTAAACATTTTTTAATGATTAAATTTCAATTGATATGAAAAAAGATGGCCACATTTAGAGACTTGATTCCTTTCTCACTTTCTTCATATGTTGTATTTTTTCTCTTAGTTTATATTTGTTTAAAATATCACATTATATAAGCTGTATTCATTGGCTGTATTTTCAATGAAATATTGAAAGATTATATTTCTATTTATACCTATTATATCATTTATACCAATTATATATCACAAGATGTATTAAAAATATTAAGCGCGTCCTATCGATATTATTAGGAAAACTGTATTATAAACAGCATTAGCTACTGAGGAAAGTGAAACAGTCTAATAAAATTCTTTATTTACGAAAAGATATAAAGCATCATTTAAAGATTAACATTATTAGAATTAAATAAAAAAAATGCCTTCAGATATATTTATATATATATATATATATATATATATATATATATATATATATAAATTATACTTTATATTTATGAAATATTATATTTCCAATTTAACAAATTATATAGACAGAGAAATCTCGTTTCTTCTACTTTCTTCTAATCAATGGAAGTTCTAACAAATGGAAGTTTCTCTATAATATGAAAGCCAAAGGTGTGATGTCTATATATATATATTTATATATATACATACATATACATTTATATATTAATAGACTGATTTCTCTGTATTCTCTTTGATCCTTTAAAATTTTAAAATGCGTCCATAATTATCAGAAGTAAAGAAACTGCAGGAATTTATTATTACTATTAAAATTTACTTAAGTATATGATTTATAATGAAATTAACGTATGTAGAAGTGTATGTGTTTGTACAACAGTTGTGTATTCCATCTTTGCCTTCAACGAGGCTAATATTATAGCCCAACTATTTACTGAACGAGAATAATTAGAAGAGAGACCAGTGCTTTTTGGAAAGATTTTCACATTTATATTTAACCTCTAATAAAAGAGTTTGTTTTTTATGGTGAGATAATGAATGTCTTATACCGGATACATACGTACATACATTAATTATTTATGTACATGATAATAAAGGTAGCTATATAGTCATAGTACAATAAAAAATTTATTACAAAATTGTAAGAAAAATTTAAACCTTTAAGATTTTTGAAACTTAATGACAAGCACTGCGTGTCTCCATTTAATTAATCGAAATTCAGTCGAAGGGTTCCATCGTGTTAAAAAGGTTTATAAAGTCGTATCGTTGAATCAGAAATTCTTTGTACATAATTCATGTTTCGAAACGCAGAAACGCGGAAGGTTTATTATTCTCTAGAATCATGCATCAGAGATTAATGATTGTAAATAAAGTTATTAGAAACTCTACATTATATTGCATCCGTAAAAATGTCAAAAAAAAAGAAAAAAAAAATAAATGCAAGAAGTTGTAATTATAATTTAACTTGATTCGTTCATTTTTAATTAAGAATATCATATAACGGATATAAAAGATTTGAAATGCCTTGTAGATAATAAAATACGTACTCGTTCGAAAAATTAAAATTTATCTTCATGATTTTGAGATAAAATGTTTTAGATAATAAATAGTATATAATCATCGTCGCTAGAGGTCACGACCGTTTAATTTAGTGAAGTTACGAGCAATGGAATTGTCGTTTCGAGGGAATATTAAAGAACAAGGGATTGATGATAGATGTCGTTGCATTCGTGCACGATCTGCAAATGGCAAATCTATGCAGAAGGAAATTCGGTGGCTCGTGTAATGTTTGAAAAAGCTGTAGATTTAACTAGTGTTCATAGTCATTCCACGTATATACGATGATACATATCGAATTTTATCAATGTCGCATAAACAATATAAGCGTCGAAAATCGTGTGACAGGCGATTAAATGTCAGTAATATCGTTATTTCAGTTATATCTTATTTTCGATTGAGATATCAACAAAATATACTGAGCACAACAAAATAAGTTTTCTCCTTTGCTGTCGACGACAACGCAACGACACGGAGACGATCTGACGCATAGAAACGCGTGCGCGCGCGCGCGTACGTGTACGATTATACACACATATGCATTCATTCGTACCATCCATTTTTGTAAAAAGGAAAGACGTTAAAGAGAGTAGTAACGAAAGAAACTTATGTTATACAACATAGATCGCGGTGTCAATACATAGATTAAGGTGATAGAGAATCGTTTTCTTTCAGTTTCGTTGTATATATTAATGGTCATAATAAACTATTCTTGTTCGTAGTAGCGTATATGGTAAGTAATATTTACTACCACGGATCATTAAATGTTTCTCTTTCTCCCTTTCTTTCTCTCTTTCTCACTCTTTCTCTCTCGCGTTCGTTTCTGCGGTCGTTGAATCGTCGGTTATACTAGTCCTTTGTTTTTGAAATCTTAGGAAACTATTCGGCATTGCATACATCAAAAGATGGCAGAAATATGACGAGCATAACGATAACGTGATAACAACCGATTAAATTTGGCGTGATACCTGCCGAACATGAATATCGGTTAAAGCGAAATATATATTTATTGTATCGTTTGGAAATTCATTACCATCGAAGATCCCTCGTTGCCTACATTTTCTTAAAGAATTCAACGGAAACAGACGTCTCGAGTATAATGAACGGTGAGTAAAAAAACAAATGAATAGTCGTATATCCATACTGGACGAAATTAATGTTCATCGTAAAGTTGTCGATGTGGCGCCATGGATAGGCAGCCATTGTGCGCCCTTTGAGGCTGCCTTTCGATCCTATACTCGACCGTTACTCGTATACCTGTAACGAACGTTCGAGAACTCGGAATTCGTCCTCTGAAATCGCATTTAATGGTCACCTCATATACGCCATTTTTCGAACGAACGCGCCTGTGACGTGCCTATATGCACGTGCCTTTCGTATCTTAAATGTGAAATTTATTTACATATATTTTAACTCTGCATATTATTTTTTTTATTGGTGATGTGTAGTTTATAATCTCTATTATATTATAATGTGCAATTTTAAATTTACATATTAAAGGAGTAATTCTAATAAGCATAATTAATACGGCATTTAATAATATTAATTATGATACAATATCGATGAATTTGACAATATCTAATGAAAAAGTGATAGCAATTGTATTTCTTTATTTATGACATTGATTTTCCCCACGAAGAACCTGAAACTTTCCCAAAATACAAAATAATAAGCATTGTTATACATATATATATAATATATATGTATATGATATATATGTGATATATATATCACATATGTTTTAACAAGAAGTAAAGAAAGGATGGGCAATGTGTAATACGTGTATATACGTTCGTATAACGAATCAAACGGTCCAATGGTTTTGTGTTTCGAGTTCCTACGTCATGAATTTATGTATATAGTGTTCTAGTACAATGTCGCAGTATTGTGAAACCTATTGTTAATCATTTTCACTAAAAACTGAAGAAATGGATATATTCGTAGTATTGTGCAGAAAATGTCGACAAATTAAGATCGTTGACAATTCGAAAGTGTAGTAAAGTGTACATAAGTGAGGTTGGTAATATCTTTTTGTGCGGTTAAGAAATACATATATCAAATCCCTAGTGTAAAAAGAATATATTTAAGTAACGAGTATAATCGTTGCTTAAATTTTTCTTTTAATAATAGTTATAAAAGAAAAAGAAGGAGAAAGCCACGTAAAAATCTATATTGTGTAAGAATTAATTTTCCTAAGAAAATAATTTTACAGTGAACGTATATACATATATTGTACAAAATTATTATTATCTTATCGAGTGATTGTGATTAATATCAAAATCTTTATTTTTAGGGGAGAAAAAAAAAAAGAAAAAGTTACATAATTCTTTATTATACTTTCTTTTTTTGAGATATTAAATCATTCTTAAGTGAAAGTGGAATCGCTTCTATGCAATTTCTCGTGTAGTAAGATGTCTAACGTGAAAAGAAAATGGCGGTGATACAAAACTACACGTAATGGCGAATAATCGGGAAATGTTGCAGTTATTATTTTTACACAAATAGATTTTTCTTTCGAGATATTTTTGTTTTAATGATTATATTAATATGATATAGGCTTAGGTAATTAATTCATTAACCTTTTTCTACGGGATCACATAATTTATAACAAAGATTCTTAGGTTGTTACAGTATCGCCATCTATATCTTCGACATTTTCCGGAAGTCTCCATTTACTTCCGGTTCTCTTCTAATATGGCGGCTTGTTTCATACATATATACGAAATATGATAGAATAAAAGAATTCTCATGATTTATTTAATCATTTGTAATTATAAATATATTATTAATTACATATTTAAAATCCAATGAAATTGTGTGTGCGTATATATATACATATATATATACTATATGATTGAAGTTTTTTCGTTTTATCTCTTTTGTTTTATATATATGTACATTATATAGTTAAGACATGTTTTATGTTGACACAGGTAAATTAAAAATAAAAGCAGGAAAGATGGATGAATATGATAAAAAATTTGCGGAGATGCAAAAGTACATTCCATTTTTAGAAGCTATGATCGAGAGGTTACAAAATGTTAAGGACAAATCAAGAGAGATTCAGTTACAAAAAATGCAAAGTCTGCATGGAATTTTATCTAATAGTAAACGGAAGTACGTCGCATGTATATTTTGTCTAATATAATATTAAACGATTTATACGCGATAAATTTAATAAATAATATAATATTCTTTCATTTTTCTTTATACACGTATTCACAAGTATTTAACAATATTTTTTATTTTTTTGCACGTACTATAGTAATTACGTATATATATTGTTATATTTTATGTATATACTGATAGTTCATTTATTATTAATGGAGCAGGTTAAAGATAGAAACGTTACAAAGATGTGAAGATGTTCTTCAAAAGTTGCACAATAAAGTAGAAAAGGTAAGTACTTTTATTTATTAAACAAATTTTTTTGTTTATCTTAGCTATTTTTATTGATTGTAATATTTTAATGTATATTTTTTTTAACGAACGAAATATTGTTTCGTTATCGCAATTTTACTTTTGATTGTTTAATATTTTTTATTAATTTTACTCTGTATTCATATATGAATGGCAATTGTTGCATTTTTTTAATTAATTTTTTATCATATTTACATATGTGTATACAGATACTGTTTATATTGAATGCTTTTTAAAACCTTTAATTTATTTGATTACTAATTGTATGTTCGCATTATTTTTTGTATATTGTATTTTATATATTATAATATTGTATTAGTAGTTTTTGTATATAATTAATTGAATGCACATTGTAGATCGCAAATTGCACAGATTGTATATAAGTTGTATAAATATTATTTGCACAAACTTAAATTTTATATTGTGATTGCATCAAACTTAGTTGACTAACGGTATTATGGTTATTAATCTGTTTTAACTTTCGAACTTTAATAATATTGCTTATATAAATCTATGTATCTCTATCGCTCCGTATACTTTAGATATTTCAGGCTTTCGTAGAGTGCATGTTTTACTTGTGTATTTTAATTGTTCTAATTCGACACGAGTTTCAGGGAAATGCTCCAGGATTACATGTGCCGAACAAAAAAATCGGGGACATCGTTTCGCAGCCTACAGCGTATGTATGAGAAATTGCAAAATAGAACTAATCGTAACAAAATTATTCCTTTATATATATAAAGATAAAAGAAAAAAAAATGATACGTTAAGAGTATAATTATACATAAAATAATGATGCGTAAAGAGTGAAATAAATTGTTATTTTTATAATTTTGCATTAGCTGTTTTTAATAATATCTTCGACTTACAGTTAATTACATATACATATAGCAAAGGAATGGAACAATATATTTTTCAGTTCACTGGACGATACTGAAAAGCGTAACAAGAAAAAAAAATCGGCCGATATTCAAGTGATAACGATACAAACAAAAATGGAAGAAACTCCGGCTAGTCCAACTCCCCCAGTTAGTCCTGAAACGGTACCTCAAATGGCGCCTATAATTATCCCTACAGAAAGAAGCATTGAGCCAATATCAGAAATCTCCGATAAGCATATTAACTTGAACGAAATGGAAATATCTCACAGTATTAAGCCAATCGTTATACCGATTGAACGTAACTGTGATATAAGTAGACAGTCACCGAATTCAAGAATTGGCTCGATTAGTAACGAAGATACCGATGAACTTACATGTTCCGAATGGGATATGTTAGAAGAATCCGAAATACAGAATACAAAATTTACTAGAGGTACTTGGAAATCTGTGATTTCTAGTAACCATGATGTTTCTAATGCAGCAAAACTAATGAGCAATAGTTTACCCCAGAAAATGACCGATTCTCAAACGACAACCAAAACTCGGCACATAGTTACCGTCCCAGTACCTTCTTTAGGGGGTTCTAGGAGGCTTTCATCGGTTTTAGAAAAAAATATGTTAACTGGATTGAATTTAGATATAATTAATTCAAATATTAGAACAGAATCGCCCGTGAACGTTCCAGAAGTTTTACTTAATTCACCCGATCCTGAAATGTTGTTCTCTAAGCCTAAAAATATCTCACCAAGGGCAAAGGATGGATTTTCCACACCAAAATCAAATTCAAAACCACCGATGCTAGTTTCACCTCCACCTGTTTCGACCGAACCACCGCTCTCTATTGAAGATTTAGCCGAGCTACTCAATGAAGAAGAAGGAACAGAAGAGGGTGATAAGAAAGACGATCAATTAAAAGATAACTCAGATCTTAAAAGATTAGGATTGGAAAAGACAAAAGAAGATACCCTAACAAAGAAAGATAATAATAAAAAGATATCTGGCAATACGGATTTAAGTACGTCGAAACATTTGCTTTCTCAAGACGATATTGATCGGGAAAGCGATAGACGTTGGGAAGAAGTGGACAAACATATTGTTAAACTTACAACAAGAAAATGTTTACCAAACGCAGTTCAGACATCGTCGAATGCAAAACCGGAAACATTAAAGTCTAACGAAATAAAGGGTCCACCACCGTTGCTCCAACATAATTTTTCTTTAAATATTGATAAGTCAATTGATCATAGGCACCGATCATCTTCACCATCTTTTAAACTAGAATCACGTTATGCTGAAAGCTATGAGAGACATCCGCGTCAATTGCGTGATAATGTCAACGATAAAATTCTAAACCTGCACTCTCGTTTGCACGATGAGGAAGTAGGAAATGTACATGTCTTGCATGGTGGTCCTATTATGCAAGAGGACAGAAGTACTATGCTTTATCAAAGACGCGCACAAACTCCTAACATAGGGGATACATCTAGAATAGATCATTCGGTCCAACAGGAACATTTTAATAGACAATCCGTGAGTCAGCCTTTATGGCCATCTCATCCTCCCTCAAATCCAAATGATTTTTGTAATCCTCAATGGACTTCTCCTAGTAATTATAATGGATTAGGGAATAACTCGATGCAAGGTATGCCAATACCTAATTCTATGTATCAGCATCCAATGGGAATGCTCCAAGATATGTGGAACTCTGGAGTTCCAAATTCTGCTCCTATGGATTCGCACCCAATTAACGATTCGCCGATCAGATCGAGTCATTTTAACGCGAACATTATGCCTGGAATTAGACCGTTGTTAAGTACTCCGCATTCACGAGCTCAAGAAGTTGGTCATGATGATTCACCTATGAATCCATCAATAATACCGCCTTTGATGTCTCCTACAAATTTCCCTCCTCAGTATAGAGGTTTCCATGATGTTCCTTTTGATAGACCTGTTGATTATCCGATTTCAAGGCAATCGTGGGATCAACCGATAAATAGATCGAATGAACCCTCCTATCGGAATGATCCTGAAATGAATTGTACAGATGGGATAATGGGAATGCCGGGTTCATATTCAAGACCTAGTACACCTTGTCCCTGGAATAGAGATAGAGATCGATGTAATCGAGGTAGAGGTAGAGATGGGTATTACAATGATAGATGTAGAGGAGAAGTAAGAAACAATTTTACTCGCGATGGCCGGCCTAGACCTGAACGACTACTTAGAGATGTTCAAATTGATTGGGATAATTGCAATCGATTTAATAGAGACAGCCGAACTTCAGTTTCGGATAGAGACCCACGTCTTCGAATAGACCACGGTAATACTTCGTCTCTAAACTCAAGTCATAACCGAGAAAATAGTAGTAGTAGTAGTAGCACCTCGAACAGAGATCCACGTCTGACCAAGGATAAACAATCAAATGTAAATAAACTTAAAGATAATGCATATCAAGAAAGGGATCCCAGAAAACGTTCAATATCTTCTTCGACGCTATCCTCGACATCACAAAAAGTCCAGCAAAAATCAAAGTCGAAAAAAGTTGAGGCCTCTAAACGTGATTCAGATAATAGTAGCAAACAAATAAGCGACAAGATATCCAAAGATAAGAAGCAATCACCACTCGAGAGTTTATATGGTGTAATAGATACAAAGGGTAAAGGTAGTCAGTCGTCTGGATTGCAAAAATTCAAAATACCAAAGATCAAACGATTAGAACAGTCGACACATTCGAATAATTCTTCAAACGAAGAGAAAAAATCTGATAGCGATAAAAATAGCGCTGAAAAAGAAGATACGTCTGCAGAAGTTACAAGTAGTAGTGATGTGCCACAATTAAAAGAAAATTGGGATGCGGATGATGTAATTTCTGAGACAGTACCTTTAAAGAACGAGGATGTTTCAACGATAAAAGGAACGAATATAGAGAGAGAAGCTTCATCCCCGACAACGTCAATCGCTGATAAAGATGAAACGAAATTTGAAGAGCCTGATTCAATAATGAACACATCCACCGCTACTTCCGAAATTGTAGAGAATGCAAAGAAGGATGATACAGAAATAGATGGACTTAAATTAAAGGATGGAGTTACTCAAGAATGGATCGAAGGTTTAATTAGGAAATCTTTAGAATTTGGAGAGGGAAAGAAATTATTTGAACAAGCTAAATTAATACAAAAATTAGGCGAAGCATTAGAAGCAAAGAAATTGAAGAGAATTAAAAAGATCATCGAATCCGAATCTGAAAGTAGCAGTTCGGATAAAGATGAAGATGTTGAAGCAAAGAGGATACAAGTTAAAAAGAAGCGACGTGTTATCGTTTCTTCTGATAGTTCTGATGAAGATTGCTTAGCAGAAAGATTGGATATATTGACTAATTTATCAAAAGAGAAAAATGAAAACAAGGAACTTGAGAACAAGGAACTTGAGAACAAGGAACTTGAGAACAAGGAACTTGAGAACAAGGAACTTGAGAACAAAGAACTTGAAAACAAAGAACTTGAGAACAAAGAACTTGAAAAAGATAATAATATTAGTGCCGATAATAGCATTTCTATGGAAAAGAATCAGAAAAATATTTGTTTTAAATCTAAGGGATTTGTAAATACTATTAACGAACCTGATATTGATAACTTAGAAAATTCCTGCACTACTTTGGAAAAATCTGAAATAATTGAAGTTCCGGAATTTAACGATGATACGACCAATATCTTAGAAAATAGCAATAATAACAAAGAAATTGAAGACAAAAAGCATGATTTAGAAAAGATACAAAAATTCGCTGAAGAATTGAATGTGAATGAACGATATACGTCAATCGAGAATACCTCAGTAAGTAATAATGAATCTACTGAAGACAAAGAAAGTAGTTTAAAAATTTCTAAACCAAAAACAAAAAGGAGAAATTCTTTAGAAATGTTACAGGAAGATATTCGAGAAATGTTTATTAGCGAAGGTGTGGTATCTGCTACAGGACATCGTTTGTGCCGAGTTTTAAAAGAAAATCAAACAAGTACTTCTACAATTACACCTACGAGCAATCCGAGTTCAGTATCTAAAAAATCGGAACCATGTAAACTATCGAATAAACAGAACGTGGAGATTGAAGGTGAAGAGCAAATATCTAAAACAAAAAAATTACCTAGAATTCGAAATAACGAGAAGTCGGGAAAAACTAAATGCAAGAATAAAAAAGAAGTGCAGCGAGTTACACGACAAAGTTCGAAAGAGCAAACTTTCAGTTCTGATAGTGAGGAAGATCAACCTTTATCCTTACGGACTACTAATCGAGAATCGAATAGTAACAAAAATCTTGATGTTTCTAAGGAAGAGGATGAGAAATATCAAGATGCCGAAGTTTTGCGTAGAAGTAAACGTGTACTTCGTAAGGACGTTCCGAAAGAGGCACGAGTTCTTATCGAAAAAACGAATATTGCAAAAATAGATTCTTCGAAAACAATGTTTGATAGTTCTTCGGACGAAAGTTTAGGTATAGATATGTCAGTATTAACAGATGTTATAGATACTTCACTTAATATGGAAAAACAATCATGTCATCAACGTAGCTCATCACAAGTAGCATCTCCTAAAAATAAACCAAATATTCAGAATTTTTCTAAGAAAGGTTCAAAAAGAAAGCGTTCGATGCTTCTCAATATTGATAAGATTGAGGATACTGTATCTGTCACGGATGAGGAAAGTATTATTTCAGATATATCTATGTCGAGCAGTATATCATCTGCGAAGAAAGTTAATAATAATATTGATAAATCGAATAACGGTGAAGAATTATTAAGTGATGTTGTAGTAGGACTGGTACCATCTAAAGCGAATAAAGACATGTCTCAATTAGAGAAAGGAAGTGATGCTGACGTTGATGAAGATGTCAATGATTTGATACGTATTGAGCAAGGTCAAAAGAAAATTTCAGTTAAGAAAAAGAAAAAGAAATTTACTTGGCAGATGGGTATTTTATCAAAAAAGAAAAAGAAAAAGACTTCAACTTTAGTGCAGGTAGAATCTGATCGAATTATTCCTGAAATTCAACATACATCTGAGAAAATAAGTATTCAAAAAGACAAGTCTGATGTAAAAGAAAAAACAGAAAATCTAGTAGAAGAAAACATTCCAGAAAAAGAACATACAAAAGAACCTGTTTCACCCTCTGTAAATTATGAAAATAATAATGCCGGAAGTAATGTCGTAAATAGAAAAGAAGATAGTAAGAAAAAAGATAGTAAAGAAAAGAATAAAGAAATAGATTGTACAACTTCGTGTAATGTATCTATAGAATCATCAGTAAAAAAGACTATACTCCAAAAAGAAAACAAAGAAATTTCACCTATAAAAGATGATAAAACATCTACGAATGAGGATGTATCTTTATTATCAACAGAAGACTGTGTATCCAGTGAACATGAAACATCTCTTAATTTTCAGATACAACAATTAATTGAATATGCTTGGACAGGTCAAGAAAGATATAAGTGCTTACTTTGTAGCTTCCATGGTAAAAGTATTACTCATCATTATAAATTGAATCATCCTGACAAGGAAGTTTTAATATCTAGATTTCAATCCACAGAAGCCCAAATGGCAATAGAAGAATCTAAAAATAATAACTATGAAGAGACATGTACAGAGTTTTCAGAGAAAAAGTCTTATCTATTTAATTGTAGAATTTGTTATTTTTCTACTGAAGGAACAAAAGATGCTGCCATGGAAGCGTTTTATGAACATTGTACAACACACACTGGCGAATATAGATTTCAATGTAAGAGTTGTCCTTATCAAACTGTTACTAAAACATCTATGCGTACTCATTACTATAAACTTTGTCGCAAATATGGTAGTGTCTTTAATGAAGTTATGATTGAAGATCCAATACCGAACGAGAATGGTATATATGGATATTTGTGCTCGGTATGTAATTATGTACAATTAAAACGAATCAATCTACAGACACACATTAAAACGTGGCATAGTGATGCCACAGATGTAAATATTATAAAAATAAATATGTCTACTGATGCAACTGATATAACAAGTCCAGTTCCAATAACAAGTGAAAAGTTGGAATTAAAGATTGAAAAATGTGAAACTTCTCAATCAGAAGAGAAACAAATAAATGATGAACAAAAGAATGAGGCATTGATATCTAATAACTGTGAAAATAAAATTACAGAAACACAAGTTATTTCTGAAGAGAAGGATCAAGAGATTTCTGATAATAAGGAAATAGAATGTACAACTAATAAAGATTTGTCAAATATTCCACCTAAGTCTAAAGAACAATTGACATTGCTTGAAAAGGAATCGACAGAACTAACAGTACCAATTACTATTAGTGATAAATTAAGTGTATTTGTATGTCCACCTGAACTGGAGCACAAAGAAGTAGAGATTCAATTGGAACGAAAAAAGAAAATGCAAGAGATTGTTGAGAACTTTGGTATTAAAGTACATAAAGATGTCTCTGAAAAGAAAAAATCTATTATTGATACTCTCAAAGATAAAATGAAAACAAATGTGCATAAAGAAGATAGTCAAAATAAAGATCTTATGTTAATAAAAAATGTTTCTGAACTAGGTACTTCAAACAACTCTGTATCTTCCACAAGCACAATATCATCTGAAAGTAATACAAAGACAACAGAATCATGTATCTCAAATGATAAAACAACAAGTAAGGAAGATATATTGAAATCTGATGAATTGAAGAAAACTAAAGAGCAAGATAATAGCAATACAGATCAAAATAATTTAAATCCTAGTTCTGACAAAACAGATGTCCAAGATCCTTTAGTACCCGCAAATATTGATGGTAAGAACGTTGAAAGTGAAATTGAAACAAGTGATAATGAAACTACCAGAGAGTCTGCAACTGTTTATGATTCAGATTCTAGTAGTGAACAGACAGATACTGAAATAACTACAGATGTAAACTCAATATTAAAAGAAACTTCCAATGTATCATCAAAAGATCCAATGATGACAACTATACAAAGACTTGCTGCTCAACTTCAAAGTATAAAATCACGTGATGGATGTGCATCTGAAAATTCTACAAAAGTGCAAATTAATACTGATGACAAAATGTCCGCGCCCGCATCTATACCAAAACCTCCAAATGTTGTACCTATTGCAAGTATTAAACATTTCTTAGGGAAACAAGATAAAAAAATGTATGAGTCCATAAAAGAAATCACAGGTAATGATGACGATGAACCAAAAAGTTTCCTCAGATTCAGACGTTTGAGCGGTGATATGCTTTCTGTGTCTAATCATTCTTCAGAAAATCAAGAAGACACTGTATCCTTAAGTGGTAGTAAGTATATATACTTCTATGTAACAATTATAATATTTTTTATATTACAATATTTGTATATTTCTTATTAGCTGGAAGCCAATCTGATACTCCAGGGGATATATTACAAACAGATACAGAAGAGGAATGTTCATTTTTAAAAATTGAGAATGTAGTTAGTCTTGCACCATGTACTGATAGTATTGAAAGTGAAAATACGATTGTAAGTATCTTACAAATATTCAAATGTTGATGAAATTTTGATAATAATATAAAAAAGTTCTTCATAATATCTATATTCACTTTTAGATAAGTGATATCAGAAAAGCTGTTGAAACTTCACCAATTAAGCGTAAAGCAGTCTCATTACTAAAAAAGACTGCTCAACCACTTATTTTAAAAAGATTTAATTCGGTAACTATAAGACAGCCAGTTCAAAACAAAAGTGCTGCTCAAGAATCTCTACAATTAATACCAGTCCAATCATTGACATCTACGTCATCGCATACTACCAATTATGTACCCATTGTCCCAAAGTCAAAGATAATTCAAATAGAACATAATAAATTACCATTTCAAGTTTCTGTTGGTAAAAATACTACTATTGCACCAGTAACTACACATAATATTACAGGCTCAAAATCTCCATCTCTTACAAATCTAAATTATAAAATCCTAAAAGTAGTTAAAACATCACCTTTACTTAAAGCAAAGGATTTAACATCACAATCGATACTAACTAAATTGAAGTCTTCTGATGCTTACACTGCTATGTTGAAACCTCAAAAACTCAGTCAATTTTACAAGTGTATGGCTCGAGATTGTTCTTTTACAACAGATTCTATTACTTTATATTGTCAACATTATGCTCAGCATGATATGTGTGTTAATAAGAAGAAAGATAATTCTTCGTATGACTACCAAAAGTGTGCCTATTGTCATACTATTCTGAGTGATTGGACACAAATGCAACAGCACATGGAAGAGAAGCATGAACATTGTCGTTATCAATGTAATTGCTGCTTTTATAGAGCAATAGCACCATCTTATGTACAAATTCATCAGGTATCTTAAAAACAAAATTCTCTAGAAAAAAATAGACATGTTTCATTATTCTTATGTATTATTTTTATATTCTTTTTATAGGCAGTATCTCATGCAGGAAACCAGGCTGGTATTTTGCTCGGTAAATTAATAAAAGAGCTTCCAACAAAAGAAGATTATAATCGCCATGATTATATACAACCATTCGTATGTCAACATGGTTTGTATCTTTTTTCTATTAAAAATATGATTTACTTATATTTTATTTTTATATATGGTACTTTTTATTTTGAATGAAATTTCTAATTTGAAATATTAATTTTACGTTTAGAGTGTGGAAAGGTTTTTTATATACCAGAGACATTCATATCTCATTTGAAAACAAAGCATTCAGTTACTCTATCTATTTACAAGTGTCATCTATGTTCCGCATCATGCTTAAAAATAGAGCAACTTATAATAGTAAGTATATAAGAATATAGAAAAAAATTATTTGTTAAACATGATTCCATGCTTATAATTTTATATTATTTATAGCATTACAAAATTCATGGGATTTATAAATATCAATGCTTGTATTGTTTAAATGGTGCAGACTCATTTAGTGATATGCTTACTCACTTAAGTCTATTTCATTGTAACAGATTACCACAAATTCTTGAACGTTCTCTGCCAGCACAGGTATGTACTTTTTTATTTAATCGAGGAAAAATATAACACTGATTTCGATTGAAATTTCAGGCAGTAAGAACTAAAGATGTAATAAATCAACTTTTAATAAGAACCTTGGACATAAAAACATCAAGTGAAATGATAGATGCAAAAAATGAAACAGAAAATAAACAGGAAAAAGATGTCGAATATTTGTCTTCTGCTTCTACTCAATCATTGGAAGAAATATCTATATTGGATGAAAAAACAAATGACACTACATCAGATAAGAAATTGGTTAATATATTTTCAATATGCAGCAGTAATGAAAGCAATTCTTCGTCTGTTAAAATGAGTCCTAAATCTTGTGGAAATAACTCTTTAGATGCAATGCATAATTCTAATAGCTGCAAAGATCTTCAGTGTGAAGATGACATATCTGAAATATTGACTTCGTCACAAAGTTGTGTTCTTGATAAAAATCCACCAGATGAATCTCTTGTTCCTAAGAAGACCATAGAATCCGAAAAAAGTTGTACTCAAGAAGGAAATTATCATACCTCAAAACACATTCTTCATGAACCTGAATTACAATTATTATCAGGTGTAGATGGAGATATAAGTGCAGTAGATCCATTACGATTAACGAATATATTAGATTGTTCGGATGAATATGTCAATATTAATGTTTTAGAAAATCCTAATTTTGTGAAAAATGTGTCTGACAATAGCAACTCACCACCCGATAGTAAGAAATCGATAATTAATGAAAACAAAACAGATGATAGTGATATAGAAATATTAGAGCAGATTGAAATTTCTAAAGATAATAATAAAAACAAAGAAGACAAATTAAACCAAAAAAGCGATGAAGATATCAAAGAAACATTAAATATAGATTCTGTTGAAAATAACACTAAAAAGGAACAAGTAGATGTAGCTCATAGTAGTGCAGAAGCATCAAATGGTTCTGTTTCAAAGACACACGATAAATCAGAAAAACCTTTGACTTTGGAAGATATTAAGGATACAGGCTTTACAGGAAATCAATTATATAAATGTGGCTATGAGGATTGTGATTTTAATGCTTCAACTGCAGCTAATCTTCGAATACATCTTAAAAAGTGTACTTATAAAACACTCGATAAGAATTTAAATTGTACACATTGTGGCAAACGTTTTGTGAAAATTGGCTTTTTACTTGAGCATTTAAAATTACATGGATTAAAACGTTTTGGTTGTTCACTATGTAAAGCACGGTGTACTGTTTCCTATCAAGCTATGGCTCATATGAGAACAAAACATAAAATTCAGTACAGTAAAGTAATTCCTGCCGATCCAGAAAATCCTTCAGCTGATGGCCTCTTTATTGTGCAACCTTTAGTAAGTAGATAATGATGATGTAATAAATATTAATTCGTTGATTTATTTTATAATCAAAAATTTTTATCTTATTTGACATAGCGTCCAACTAATGGAGAACGAAAAGGTAAAAAACGAAAAACAGCAAAGGCATTAGAAAAGGATGCCGAAAAAACAGCTGATATTGAAAAATTAACTTTTGGCCCTGATGAAATAGAATTATTGCCTCGTCAAGCGATATATAATCGCGAAGTACAATGTGCTGTCTGCCCTTATACTACCAAAGTTAGAACAAATATTATTAGACATCTGCAACTTCATGCTAAAGATGAAACTGTACCAGAAATTGGCCCAGTCAATCCAGTACCTTGTTTAGATAAAAAAGAGAGGATGTTTGACAAAATGGTTAATCTTGCAAGTAGTTCTCATCAAAATGGTCGAATGGGAGGAAAACCTAAAGACTCTCCAAAAGATAATGATGAGAGTTTCATACCTAAATTTGTACCAGAACATAAAAGGTATGTATATACTATTGCAAACTAATTTAGCTTTAGCATTTTAATTGTATTATAGCACTAATTATATTCTACTTTATGTATAGATATGTATGTAGTGTAGCAGAATGTAATTATCTTACTGTCGATGAAGCTATGCTACGATATCATTTAAAAGCATTGCATTCGGATGAACAATACTTTCGTTGCCCACATTGTCCACAGCCATCTTCTGGCCAAGAAGGACAAAATATAGCAATAGATAAAATGGGAGTTCATTTAAAAATGCATGATACCAGACTTTATAAATGTTCTCATTGTAATCATCATCACTATCATAGGTTTGTAAAATAATTGTTTTACTATCAGCTTATATATATGATCTTTATTTAACAAATATTACAATTTAAACATATGACAAGTGTAAGAAATAGAATTAAAAATATTATTCAAGTTCTTTCAATATTTTATTAATTACTATTTATTAATTATTATCTTCTGTCTACACTTGCCAAATGTTTTACATATGCTATTAAATATATGGTGCATTTTATATGCTCTCTGATAGTAATGGAATGTTATGTAGGCATATCATAGAAAGGCATCTTTCTGATAAACATCCGGAGAAGAGACCATTTGTTAAAGTAATTAGAGAATTAGAAAGTACAGAAAATATTCAACAACCAGCTCAAGAAGAAATGGAAGAAGAAATTCCAGATCCAGATGGTAATCATTGGAAATGTAATATTTGTGAATATAAATGTGTTTACAAAGCAGAAATGATCACTCATGCGTCTGTAAGCCATGACGATAAGTACCAATTCAAGTGTACTGTCTGCTCTTTCAAAACTAGTGTAAAAGTACTTCTCGAACAACATATCACCAGCAAACATGCAGGTGATCCAAATGCTGATTATATCATGGCTTACCAGAAGATAAAAGGCGTAACTAAAAAATCTGGCGATTCTTCTGAGCAAGCAGGACAAGATGAGCCATTTGATACTACCCCTCTTTGGAGAAGGGATATGCCACGAGTGAGACATATTCGTGGTATCCTTTTAGAGGATGAAGAGGTAGGAAACGAAACGTCTGTTAAAGGAGGAAAAAGAAAGAGTGATACAGATTCAGTTTCTACAAGACCAGCCAAAATTAAACATGGTAAATCGGTGTCTCTCGATGAAAACAAGCATTGTAAAGAGAAGTCAAAACGTTCATTATCGTGCGAGAAAATTTCGATCGAAATGAATAATTCTAATGAAATTGAAAATAATACATCGAAGGGAACTGTTGCTGATAATAATGATACTTCATTAGAGACAACAGCAAAGGCCAATTCGTCTATTGATGTCAATGATTTTAATGAATCAGATGTAGAAAGATTTGGACCTTATGGGAAACCTGTGGGTAATTTGTATATATGTACATTATGTGATCAATATAAAACGAAGTACAAACACGATATGCGGGATCATCTTTACAGAGAATTAAATTATGCAAGGTAAATACTATATTACAATGTTTCATATCGTATCGTAAGATAAGATATAATAAATATTTATCAACATTCATTTAGATGGCACTGTAAGGATTGTGGATTTTTGTCGGTAAATCGTAATGCTTTATTAAAACATTTTACAAAACATCATAATGGAGAACGACCGGATCATGCACCTCTTTCTCCAGATAATGCTATTGAAAATTGGGTATGTTTACAGAATCGTATATTATATTAGACACCTGAAATTATTATAAATTTTGTATTTTATAGGTTGGTACTTTACTTAAGAGACAAACTGATATAATGAAAGGATTAGTGTTAAAACAAGATAATAAGGACGATACGAGTTTGCAATCTAATACAAAAGATACAATTTTGTCAGAATCAACAAGAAATAAATCTTCTGTTGTTAAAACGGATCGCGATATCATTAGTAAAGATATTGAAATTGTAAAAAATGTGAATTTGGATAAGAAAAGAATACGCCATGATATCATTAACAGAAATACAAATGTAGATATAAATGATGACGATAATAATGATGATAATGATGATGATAGTGATAGTGACAAGAATCTTGTTATTGCTACCAACGATGAAGATGAATCTTCTCAAGAAGTAGCAGATGAACAAATTTTAGAGGCAAATAAAAGTAAAGGTAAATTTGATGTATTTTTTATGAATCAGTATTGTACATGTATCATAATATTTTCAGTAAAATGATTAAGAATGGATTACTAATTTAAACGATATTATACTACAGATTTATTGAAGAACGATGCAGACAAACCTCTAATCTGTAAGCATTGCAAAATGAGATTTGCTAGATGGCGTGGATTAAAATTACATGTGAAAATAACACATTTGAAACGTCTTGGATTCCTATGTCCTTATTGTGATCGTAGTACTAATTCTGAAAGCTTGATGCGTCAACATATTCGTTCAAAACATTCTGGTTGCCCTGAAAAAATAATTAATAATCCTGATGCTGGAGGTCCAGAATTAAGTGATGAATTCTGGGAGAAGGAATATGGTATTGTTAGTCCGAAAAAACGTTCTAGAAAAAGAAGACGAAAAGCAAATGATCAACTTATTAAAGATAAAACCGATCGTATATCACACGAAATGCAAGAAACTTGTAATCAATGTGGTTTTACTGCTATGAGTTATGCTGGATTGAAAGCACATCTAAGAATACATGCATCAAAAAATGCTCTTAAATGCCAACAATGCAATTTCAGTAGTTCTATAAAAGCAGAATTTCGGGAACATTGGGAGCTTAATCATTCACATTTACCATTTAAAATCACGGACGATATGTTAATGGAGGATATTGAATCTACCAATGATGATATAAAAGATGAGAAATGTAAAAAAGATACCGAAGGTTGTAATACAAAAGATGGAAATTGTACAAATAACTATAGTTCAAAAGAAAGAAGATTCTCTTGTTACTATTGCAAAATGCAAAGTAGTTCTTTAGAGATACTACGAAAACATTGGAGTTTAAGTCATCAAACTTCGATAATAGATGAACTAAAAGGAACGAAAATAGATCTTCCATTTAAATATAAAGAAATACTCGTACCAGTTTCATGTGTAAAAAATATAGAAGACAGTGATGTTAATATGGCTGTACAAAATGTGAATAATTGCAAAATTAAAGGATGGGTTTGTCAGTGGTGCGACGAGCTATGTTACTCCGAAAGTGCTATGAAAGCTCATCAAAATATGTTTCACTCTCATTTACCGTTTCATTTTAAAACGGATAATGGAGAAGAGTTACATAAAATATACGTATGTCCTATATGTTCTTTCACAACGATTTTTATTAATGACATGAGAAAACATGCGTCCAAACACATCAATCTTTTTAAATGTAAACATTGTGATAAAACCTTTAATAATCCAACTCAAGTTGAAATTCATAATAATAAAGAACATCCACAATTACAAGTAAAAATAGAAAGCATAACAAATTATAAAGATATGTTGGAAAACATAATGGAAAAAGTTTTGTGGAATAGCATGAATGGGACAGAAGTAAAAGACGAAACGAAACAAGAGAAAAAGTTATTAAAACCAAAATTAAAAAATCGTGCAGTTGCCAGAAAATCTACTGCCAAGTCAACTATACGTATGCGTAATAGTCCATACAAAGTAAAAGCTGTAGCTCGGAAATCTACACATCCATTACCAAGATATCCTTCTGGTACTAATTTTTTAATTAATAATTATAAAAATCAAGATAATTCTAACAAATCTACATTTAACCAATTTTCGTTTTATGGAATTCCATCAAAACCTATTAACTTAGGACAATTAAGTACATACATGGTAGTTGGAGGTCATAGAATGAAAGTAAATTGTACTACTCTTGCTCAGCTGATAAACATTAATCCACATATAAAACTTAAAGATATTAAATATGATGTAAAGTATGTTTCCATATTTTCAAGAACAAAACAGTGAAATTTATTAAACGTTGACTATCAAAGTAACTCTATACACAACACAGTAAAATAGCAAGTATATCTCAAGTAGTGATTTGACTTATAATATATATATAATTAAATAAGTAGATGTGTCGATTTTTTTTATAATAGTATTGATATAACTTGAATAATATTTATGCAAAAACTTTTATTTCTTTTAATTAAATATTATATTGTCTGCTTAGTAATTTTGTTTAATATTCAGATAAATACTTAAAATAAAAATGTTAGGTTGTTACAAAAATTTTTTTCGTTTTTTAATACTGCCAAATAAAGCAGCTAAGTGCGGATAGCGAAAGAAACTTTTGGGACAATCTAATATTATAATATATAAATAAACTTATTTTTTTTTATTAGGTCTTACATTTATTTATAATATTCCGTTAAAATATTATTATTTATTAATAAATTATATTATTTAATATTGTTTACTTATATAGTGCGTAATAAGACAAATGTTTGTTGTTTGTTTAATAAGTTTCTTATGCAATGTGCAAGTATCAATGTTAAACAAGTATAGTATAAAAATAGAAGTAACAAAAAAATGCATTGCATCATTAAATAAATGGAAAGTCCTATCAAATAATCTGATAAGATTTGGCAGTATAAATATTTTGATACAAAATAATGATTTTTCAGTTTTACGATTATATTTAGATCACAACTTGGTGATGGCAAATAATTTTCAGAAAGGAGTGAGTTATAAACTTAGAAAATTTCGGAAAATTTTTTTGTTTAAGAGTAATTTCTTATTTATTTTGTATAGAATAATAAGTTAAGATACTAGTACTATATTAATAATCGTTTTGTGTAAATAGTCAACATAATCATTGTATACAAACAGAAATAGTTGTATAATTGTATTGGATGTATATTATCTAATGATACCTTTTTTCTGCTACTATTACAATTATCTAATGATATCTTTTTCTGCTACTATTACAAAATAAATAAAAAAATTAATCGATAAATAGTAAATACTTAAAAAAAAAGAAATTAAAAATGATGTTACTATATAAAAAGATAAGACTGAGAGGTATCCTGAACATTAGATCATGTGTAATTATCATAACTGTAAATACTATGTATCATAAATGTCAAATAAATATTTTTGATTTTTATAATTTAATAAATTTTTGATAAGAGAATAATAATGTTTTCATCATGAGAATGTAGAAAGGTAATGTACAATTTATTGTTAAAAGTGCGCAGCGTCTTGATGCTGTCTTATTTTATATATAGTTTATTTTATTTTAACTGTGTAAATTTAAAATAAAGCGTACATACTATTGAGATACGCAAAAAAGGAGTATATATGTATTTTATTAATATTAACATCTTTTACTATAGAAGCACATAAAAATATTTGAACTTTGTTACTTTCTTAAAAAGTATTTGAAAATATATAATGCATACTAATTATCCATCAAATACCATATATCATAGATAATTTAAATGTCAATATTAATCATTCATAAATAATTTGCATAGTTTTCACTAAATATAACTTATTTTACATTATAATATTTGACAATGACAAGCAAAACATCCAGAAGGTACATAAGTCCACGTAAAAGCATGAGATGGTTGTGTTGGATCTAAATTCAAAGAATCTTCACTTTCTTCACTCAAATCCTCAATACTGAATGTATCAGTAAGCTCTCGTTTGTGTTTCAGAGACTCTTTTCCTTTTGATAATGAGAAAAGAGTAGTTTCGTCATCACTAACAAAATACATTAAATTTTATTTTAATTAAAATTTATATAAAACCTGTATGTATATAAACATAATTGATTGGAATATATTCTCTATAATTATTATTTATAATTAGTCAGTTTACCTTTCACTTCCACTATGCCAATATTCAACTAAAGGAAGATTTTCTTTATTTTTAGATGGTATGGGCAATCTTTCTATAGATATTAATCCACTAGTATTATTACTACATGCATTTATTTTAGACGTCTCATGTTTTGGAAGTTTTATATAATCTGAATTAAGTTGAATTCGTTTTGCTTGTTCAATTCGTGCTTCTGTAAAAACATCATATCATTATATGAAATCTTGATTTTAAAATGCTTTAAACATAGTGTTAAAACATAGTTAAAACATAGTTAAAACATAGTATTAAATATAAATATTCATTATAAATGAAATAAATTAATATATATATATTAATTATTTTATTTTATATATATATATATATATATAAAATAAATTAATATATATATATTATTTTATTTTATATAAAACAACAAATACTTAAAATTGATTTGTAGGTATAGGTTTGAATTAATTAATAATATATTGCATACCAAGTTTCTTTTGCCATTGTTTAGTAGAGCTTCGTTGAGATGTTTGCGTTTGATTACTGTTACAACTACTATCGCTTCCCTATAAAGATATACCCAACTGCATATTAATTTAAAATATCTGTAAACTAATATAAATTATAACAAATTTTTATGTGAAAAATAGATATTTTGATAAAAACTTACCAGAAAAAGTTTTTCATCTTCGTTGTGAGTAATTATCTTTGGGTCACTTTCAATTCCACTATCTTCCATGACAAAATAATATCTTTTGCTTCTAACTCATCTGAAACACAAAATATAATATTTTCTTTATTCCATTGACATAATTTTAAATATTTAAAATGTTTATATATATATTGACATTTCTTATGATTACACTTTTGAACATTTAACACCACCTACATATATAAATAGATATTTTAATACGAGACACTTGAAGTAATGATATATGAATAAAAAAATAGACAAAATATTTATGTATTACCTATATGTATTATACACTCACACACACATTCAAGCACGCAATATAATATTTGTCATAATATTTGTTAAGTGAAATAATATGATGTATATTATTATGATACATACATGAATATCATATATTTTTAATATATAATATACACTATGACAATTTTTTCATATTCTACTCAAGAATCTAGCTACAACTTGTTGGAATGCTTATGTTATCTTGGGATAGTCCAGTATTGATTTTCTTTTACTCAAATAACCAAAAATACTGATATAAACCTTATCATCCTTATTTCTTAAAAATATTTTCTATAAATTTATAAGTATGCTTATTGCATTAATTATATTAAATACATGCATACATCTTAGTAGATACATATTATGTAGTTAATTTTATGTCATGAAATAAACATTAGTAACTAGATCTAGATAATTTAACTTATGTCATTTATTAAGCATATTTTTATAAAATGTTATTTTGAATATATAAATATACATTTATTTTTTCAACTTTAATAATTTTTTATGTTAAACTTATGCAAATTCTTTCTACAAAAAAACTTTTGAAATTTCTTTACAAAATATAACTGGCAGCAATAATCATATCAATGTATCCTTGACAACAAATACAATTTTTTTCTATACATGAACAACAAAGTGTGCATAGCTGAGAAAAAACTCAATAAAATATTTAACTAATAATTGTCATATAATCTAAAATTTGTTTAAATTGATATTGCAAAATAACATTATCTTATTAAATTTAATCTAGACAAGGATAAAATTTGTCACAGCTCTATTTAATTACAATACGTTAATGATGGCTTCTTTAAAAAAGCAACCCTCTAAGATTTCAGAATTAACGAAAGATGTATGCTATTATAAATTTTGCAAAAATATTTTTATATAAATTAACAATAAATAATTTATAATATTCATAAAAATTTTAGCATGTTAGTATGAAAAGTCATGTGTCAGCTGTAAGCTTAGCTGGTGGAGATATGGATTGGATGCGAACAAAAACTGCACTTATACCAGATGATCAATTACAATTAACAGAAGCAGTATGTTAAATTTTCCTGTATTATTACATACAGAATGTAAATATTTTATAGTAAATTAATTTTAATTTCAGGAACTTCAAGAAGAAATTGCTCGAGTCCTTACAGTACATAACACACGTATTCCTGATTCACTCGTTGAATGGTCTTGGAAATTAAGAGAATTTATAAAACTACCTGATCCTCCTAATTTAGTAACTCTCCTGAGTGTACCTGGCACAATAATACGTCAGGACTCAGAGGACATTAAAATACAATTAGGTAAGCTATTATATAATAATTCATATAAATATAAGAAGTAATTATTATTAGAAATATATATTTATTTTGTTTTATGTCTTTTTATAATAGAAGATGATGATGAAGAGTTTGCTGCCCGACAAAATGACGTACTAGATAAATATGCAGATGAAGGTGTGTTTCAGAATAATTCGTCATTAATTTAAAAGTAAATGTTTGATTTTTATATTAAGTATTATCTAATTGCTAATAATATTGTTAATAAAACATTTAAAATGAATTTAGAATATGAAGAATATGAATATGAAGAATTAGATGAAGTAGATGAATTTCAAAGAGGAAAGCCTAAAAAAATACCTAATCAATTCAATTTTTGTGAGAGAGCTGCATTAACATATGAAAATCCTATGAGAGTAAGTTTATTAAAGACTAAGTATTTTATGGATGGATAAGTGTTAATTTTTTTACAGAACATGAGTACACAAACTATACCTCCACCCATAGCAACATTTAATACACATGTTTTCCAATGGACTATTTTTGATGAATATCAGGTGTATAAATAATATATATATTAGGATTTTAAAAATATTGTTAGTGAGCATTTATTTATAAATATTTAATTATTCAGAAAGATTATATGCTCCAACAACGTGAAAGAGAAAGAGAAAGAAGAATGCCAATTATACATGTACGGAAAGAGGACACAAAACAAAAAGAACAAACAGAGATCATTGAAATGTATAATAGAATGCTTAAAGCAGCTAAAACATTAGAGAGAATGGTAAATCAAAATATATATGATGAAATTGCACAGGGTAAGTTTATATAATATATATTACATTTACAAAATTTTTTCAAAGTTTTGTTTTATCCACTTATAATGTTCATAGATTATAGATATTGGAATGATCCAAGTGATGAATATAAAGATGGCGAAGGCTCCTTGTTACCATTATGGAAATTTAATTATGAACCAACAAAAAAACATGATATCACAGATATATGCTTTAATGCCAGATATTATGATCTATTTGCAGTAGCATACGGAACATGTTAGTAATGTATAATTTGATTTTATACATTTGTAATAATATTATACATTTTTACTATATTACAGTGACATTCAATAGTACTATAAAGAATGGTTCAGTTTGTTTATTTAGTTTAAAAAATCCATCGTACCCAGAATGGATTTGTCCAACAGAATCTCCAGTAATGTGTTTAGATTTTAGTGTTCAACATCCTCATTTATTAGTCATTGGTAATTTTTTATGAAATATATCAATATTGTGTAAAATATTATTATACATGACCTAATTATTTATTTATATATCTTTTTAATGAAGGTGTTAAAGACGGTTCAGTTGCAGTATATAATATTATGTTACCACCTACAGGACCACAGTACAAAAGTAATGATGTTACACAAAAGCATGGAGGTATTGTATGGGAGGTATGTTACATATTTTTAAACATATCAATTAGATTTACTGATTATAATATATTTATTAAAGATTCGCTGGGCATCAGATACACAAGAAGGGAATTTAGCATTTTATAGTGTTAGCATCGATGGCAAAATAAATTATTGGGTTCTCAATCAAAAGGAACTTAGTTTAACAACTATTATGACATTATTTCTTGACCGACCACCAATACCAGGTCCTGATGGTACAATGATTATACTCAAAGGTATATTATATAGATGTTAATGAAGTTTTATTATAATTAAATCTTTTTACTAAAAATATTTATTAATCATTAATAATTATATTTAGGCTGTGGTACCTGTATAGCTTTTTATCCATCGGATGAGCATGTATTCTTAGTTGGAACTGAGGAAGGTAATATTTACAAATGTAATACGGCATACAGCAGCATTTATGTGCAAACATATAATGAAGCACATCATATGCCGGTGTATCGTATAGTTTTCAATAAATACAATTCGAAGATATTTGCAAGTTGTTCAGGAGACTGGAGAATTAAAATATGGGAAGATGAAAGGCCGTAAGTTTTAAATAAGTAGTATTATAGTTTGTATAAGTGAAATTGCAAAAATAAATTCATGAATATTTAATTATAGAGATCCACTGTTTATGTTTGACCTTGGTGTTCCAATCGGAGATGTGCAATGGGCACCTTATAGTTCAACTGTCTTGGCTTGTGTATCAAATGATGGAAAAGTTACTGTTTTTGATTTAAATGTGAACAAATACAGATCAATTTGTAGCCAAGCGATTGTTAGTAAAAAGAGAAATAAACTAACAAGGCTTGCTTTTAATACCAAACTGCCATTCATCATAGTTGGTGATGACAAGTAAATTATATTTAAAAATACAAAAGCATAAATTTATTACATATTGGTAAAAAACATTCATAAATTTTTTTTATTAACAGGGGTACTATAAATACATTAAAGTTATCACCAAATCTTAGATTGAAAATAAAGCCAACAAAAAAGCAACTCCATTTGACAGATGCAGAATTAGAATGTATGAAATTAGAAAAATTATTAAGTTTTATACGCGAGCCACCTATATTAATACCACCAAAAGATGTTAAATTAGAATGAAGATATTATTATTTGCAATATTTGTTGAAGTTTGAAGAAATATATATAGTATACTCCAAAATATATAAAAAAAAAAAAAGCATTATATAAAGAATCATATCTGCAGGAAGTTTATTTTTTACAACACATATTTGTGAGTAGTAACCAAAGGTATTGTAATAACATACTGTTGTATTAATTATTAAATGTTATAACTTTATTTCATTTATTTTTGTTAAAAGTTATCCACAAAAGAAGAATATCATAAATCCTTTAAAAAATATTGAGAGTAAAAGTTATAAATTAATAATTGTAAATATAAAAAATATTTTTCATAACATATATCATTACCATGTACAAACAAATATCTTGTATTTAAAAGAAGAACTGATTCTAAATGTCTATGCAATTATAAGACTGTGGATATCTTTGAAATGCAGATATAAATATTTGGCACCAAATGTATGTACTTTTATATTATCTTAACTTCTAGCACAAATAATGCAATATAAATGGCTATTGCCCATTTTCAATTCTCACATGCTGACTTAAAATAGAATTACATATTGATTATTACTTGAACATTATATTGAATCTTAAATTGAAATCCTTATTGTGAAAATGTGTCATTTTTGTGTCTAAATATTTTGTACTTAATGATTACAATTTCAATTATACGAAAAATAAATACAAAATGTGCAGATAATAACATAATTAATTATTTAATATCAATTCCTTATATTACTAAATATCATATTGTTTAAGAGATCTTGCAAAATTACTTTTATTAATATGAATTATTCTAGAAAAAAAATTACATCAATAGCATTTAGTGCAATAATAATGTAATCTAATTAAAAATGATCCTACTTGGAAGCTTTGAATTTTCTACTACTCCTTTAAAATATTTAAGCTCTAAAAAATCTCTAATATTATTTGGACATGGAACTTGTCTACCTGCAAATTCAATGCTTGACATTGGATGAAGAAATTGTTCTGGAAAATCTTCATTTTTCATAAACCATGCATCTTTAATCATAGATCCATTTTTTGAATAAAATGGGAGTAAGTTCACATGTAAATTATTGATTTTGGAATATTGTACTTTAAAAAATTCACCTTCTGTTGCTTTTTCCCAAACAAAACCATGATTATCTACAGTAGGTTTAACTTTGGCTTTAATTAACCATGGAGATCTTTCTAAATCAAATCTATTTATCCCTATTTGTACTTCATGATCCCATGGTAAAATATCTCCATTTTTCATTGCACCTAGTAATGATGTTCCTTCTAACCAGAAACGAATGCCAACTTCGTCCAATTTATCAAATACATGATGAGCAACTTTCCTTAATCCAGCAAGACAACAAGGAGGTGTATATCGATTTTGATAAAAATATGATGGTATACCGTTTATTACCGACCCAAAACATCTAGAAGTTTCTCTTGAGCACCCATACCATTCAATGAAATTGGAAGCTCGTGTAACTTTTTTAATTCCTAACTGTTTAAACATTAATCGTTCACGACTTTGATGTAATTGTTCCAGCTTCCACTGAGTTTGTTGATTTCTATACAATGGCTTTCCCTCGTTGAATTGATGATGTTTTAGTATATGAATCTATTAATGTAAAAAACTATCAAATGTTATTTTTATCATATTAGTAATAAAAAATAAATTCTGATATAAATTCATAAAAAACAAATTAAATTTATAATGTATAAACAATGAATTTACACTTACCAGTTTAAATAATAAAACTATTCACATGAAAATCTAAAACTGTGATGATATAAACAAACACACAAAAGAAAATAAACATTAAGAAAATATCATAAACAATTTAGATATATTCTTATTGGAATACATAAAAAAAATTAAAATAATCGAAAATGAATAAATCAATGGATAGAAAAAATAAATCCAGATTCAACAATGTATGTTTAAAGTAATGCTGAATAATCAGCATTAAATATTAAAATATAATCTTAGAAAGTAGTTACCTTTGCACCAATAGCTGTTGTTTGTATGTACAATGCGTCTGGAAAGGGCAATAGAAATGGATCGGAGAGTTTTCTTAATGTTTTAACTTCTAACATTGTTGCATGTTTTCCAACTACAAAATCACATTCCATGTCAGAAGAATGAGCAAATTGTAAGCTCCATTCTTTAATCTTCAAGTTCACAGTAAGACAAGATAAAGTAACTTTACCTACTGGTACAGTTACTATCCCGAATTCTGACATTTGTATAATAATATTCTATCAAAAATATTAAAATATTAATAATTTATACTTCACTTCTACATGAGCTCTGTTCCTTTATTAAAGTATAAAATCAGAAATTTACCTGTAGAATTTGTTTTGTAGATATTCGACTAGCATCAGGTAGAAATAAGACGAACTTTGTGCGTATGTAGAACATAGGATTCCTTTCTTCATATGTTTTGTTAAAATCAGTTTGCAAGGTGATAAGTTTAACATTCTGTAATGTTTCATTTTCAAAATGCAATTCCAAAGGAGGATATGGCAACTCATCGCATATTATTAAAATTGGAATGGTAGGAAAAGAATTCAAGACAGACTCCACGGTAGACACCACGTCATTTTCAAAACTTTCAAATTGACGTATAATAATAGTTACAAGACGAGATAAACGACGATGCAATTTTTGAGGTGGATCATTTGTTACTGCGCCAGGTGTTAATAATCCTAACGTATTTTGTGCAGCAAATAACCTCCATATTCTGTGCCAAATAATTATATTTCCCAATAACGCAAGTACGAGTAATGTTCTTACGAAACTAAGGCGCATTCTTATCGTACAAAATAAAGTCACATTGTATTTTTGATTTTTGACACTTAAGTTCTCATATTATCAATATCTCTTATTATCTCTCGAATATTTCACTTCTTTACATATATTGCCTCCATTATTTTAGATTATTTTAAAGATCGTCGTTCCAATAGCATTCTTCGGCATAATGATTACCAACATGTAAACTACCTAACTAACTTCACATCTTAGTAAGTTGTTAATATTTGGACGTTGGTAACATTCAACGGATTCATTTTGTGTTGTTTTTGCGTAAAACGTCAAATTGGAGTGTGCTTGTTGGAATAATTTGAATAAACCATTATTAACGGAGTGACAAATAATCGAGAAGTCATTTCTGCAAATCATTTCAACGTAACAGATAAATTGAGTTGCCTTAATCATGCCATTACATAGATATACTCATGCTATTTTGTGTAGAATCCCTCTTTCCCTGCGAACGAGAGGGGAGGTCACGCTTGACGAGGCTAGAAAGCAACATTTAGCTTTAGCACAATTATTACGAGAACTTGATATTGACGTGGTTGAAATGCCTCCAGACGAAAATTCACCTCTATGTGTTTTCGTTGAGGATATTGCGGTTATTTGTAATGGTATTGCACTCATCGCTCGACCAACTGAACCATCTCGTCTAAAAGAGGTATCGCCCTTGTTATCGAATTAACTTCTCATTTGACGAATGCATTTTTAAAGACACTTAACTCGCGCCTTGCTCTCAATTGTCATCTGACTTAATTTAAAGTAATGTTATTTATACATATTATATATTATACATCGTAATGTTTCAATGATTTAAACTTGAAATTTTCTTTATATTTTCCATCTTAAGTGGATTATATTTATAAACAATAAAATTAACAATAAATTAATGTTTTAATTTCAGATTGATACTATTAGAGCTGTATTAAAAAAAGAATTAGAAATACCTTTAATAGAAATTGCAGACAAGAATGCTCGTTTAGACGGAGGAGATGTTTTATTTACAGGTAATAATTAATGTCAAATTTCATGATACTATTTTGTTAATATATAACATAATTTATATACTAGGAATAATACTTATAAAATATATAAATCATTTTGTTATAGGCCGTGAATTTTTTGTTGGCTTGTCACATTTTACAAATGAAGCAGGTGCACGAGCAGTTGCTGCAGCATTTCCCGAATATCCTTGTGTACCTATAAAGGTTTGTTGATCAAACCATGTTTCTTTTGAGAACATTTGTACATATATTTGAAATGAAAGAATGCTTATTATTAATAATTTTTTAATATTGATATTAAAAAATAATTAGCTAGAGAGTGAGAGAAATGAATAAATTTTTTTCAGAAAACTGATAAAGCGTCATTTTAAAGATGATTATATGCTATTCAATGGTCTACACGTAATTTTTATTACAGTACATTTATAATATTATTTATATTTAATTTACAGCACATTATCTAATTAAAAAATATGCAGTACATATCATGGAATCAGAATGTACAAATATTTGTAGAAAAAATCATTCTCATACAACATATTTTTCATTATTCATTTAAGGTGGGTGATGGTGGCGAAGAGGTGATAGTGGAGAGTCTTACCTCAGCCCCTCTTCAGGTTTGGGTGCACTAGTTTGACTCTCTTATGCATATTTCATTGAGAAAAAGTATTCACAAATTAGAGAAATAATCGCACGTTTTATATAAGAAATTTTTATTTAATAAATATTCTGTAAAAGTGTAATACAGAATATTTAAGCGATGCTTTAAAATCAAAATTGATAATGCAAGTTTTAGCTTAGCATATTCGTGCACATGGAGTTCATAGTAAAGTTACTCACTCACCTTAGCACGCATTCCATTTTTTATCAACCTCAATATTTTTTGCAGAAATAATATTATTGCTATAAGTGCTTGAATCTTTGTAAATGAAACATTTATCAATGAACAGTAGCTATGATAAACACATGTACAGTTTTTTCTTTTTTATACACTAATACATAAAGTATAAATATTTAATTTGAAAATATAATTATATATATATATAATATTTCTGTCTTTGATTTTTTAAGGTTGCAGAATCCAAACGCTTGAAATCATTAGTTACCATGGCTGGCCCTGATGTTATTTGTGTTGGTGCTGGCAAAGAATGTCAGGAAGTGTTAAAGGTAAATTACATATATATAATAAGTATTTTAAATAGTTCAGTGTTTTATTGAATGAATTGATTTATTTAATAAATATTTCCAATTATTTTTCTGTACAGAGGATCGAGCGAGAAGCAACATACAGTTACCAGACTTTAACAGTACCTGAAGATGCTGCTGCAAATGTTCTCTATGTCAATGGAACTCTCATTCATCGATCAGAGGATGAAATTCCTCAGTCAAGTAAGGTTTTTATGGAAAAAGTAGAATTTCCAACTAGATCATTACCTATGTCTGAATTAGCAAAAGTCAGTTCTGGTTTATCTTCTTGTTGTTTATTAGTACGCAGACCCAGACATATTCGCAGTATTTAAAAAAAAAGAAAGAAAGAAAAAACCAGAAAAAAGTTAATAACATGATATATAATCTCAGTGAAATACCCTGTATTTTAACAAGTGAAAAGAAACTTTCTTTAATGGGCTGAACACGTATTAATTTTATTAAAGAAAGTGGATCTATCACTATAGCTTTTATATCATTTTGATATCTGGATGTATAAATTTAACAATTATAAAAAATTAATATAATATATTTAAGTTTTAAATATAAAGAAAGAGCTAATATATATATATTGATGTGTTTAAAGTAAAAATACTAGTTTATATTCCTAATAGAATTATTTTGTATATTTTTTTGCACTTGCCATTGAGATACTTCTACTACTTTCTATTTTTCAATTTTATTACAATATTTATACCATTATGTAAAATCTTGTTATATCGTAGCAGTATCATGACATTTACTCTTGTTATTTTAATTATTATAATTTCTTATTTGTATTTTTTTTACGAAATAGTTATATTCATTTAATATTTCATTTTGCATTTAAATGATATAAAAAACAGTATTGTGGTAATAAATATTGCACAATGTTTTTATTATGCATAAGGGGTTAGAATAAAGACTCTTTTAATATTATAATATTCGAGCAAAATCAAACTTTTACATTTGATATGAACTAGTATTTTATATTCAGACATTTTTCAGAATATTTAGGACATTTATAAAACAAAATGGCTTTCTTTTTTCGACAATATTCTGACTCCCATAAATGCATTTACAACTAGTCGTTAAAACGTGTTCACAAATTATGCAATCAGAAACTCTATACACTTAGTAATAAAAGGTATTCATGATATTATCAGCTAGATTTATATACACATCTTTTAAAATATACAAAGAGATACAGTACATATATTATTGTGTAGCTATGTTATTTGAAAGTAAATTTCTTGGAAAATCCATTTGAAATACGTTTTAAAATTTTTTAGCTATTTTCTGTATGTGTGTGCCGATTAAATCTAATACAGCATCTACATTATATTTACAAAAACGTATTATATAGTAGTACTGATGATTAAGAGTTAAAAATTAATATTGCATTAATATAATATAATTTATGCTTCACAATAAAGGCACTGAGCTTAAGGTCCTATACACTAAAATTCATTTTGCTCTCTCATAGTATTATATTATTTTATATTTTACAAGATAATTAACATCATACAATATGAAAATATTATAATTAATAATATACGAAACTATTATTAATCTCCTTGCTTTTTTATATAAGTGTAATAACATTAAGTAAGATATTATGGCTTGTATATTTTATCTTTTTTTACATATCGTCTGTGCACAAGAAAAAAACAAATATAAAATTAATTTTTGTCAGTGGAGTGCTTCCCATTCTTAAATGTTATGTAATGATATAATCATAAAATATTTTTCAATATAAAGAGCTTCGTATATTATCAATTGCTTTATAACATACACAAATTTAATTACAAAATTTGAATAACATATAAATTTATCTTATCTGTACTTTATGTATAATTTTGTCTTGAAGAATAATGTTAAAATGTAGAAATGAAAGTGCAAAATTCTAAATTCTTTGTAAAATCTAATCCTTCTAAAAACAATGATTCTCGTAAATATGTAAAAAAAAAAGATCACAAAGTCAATAATAAAAAGAATGGATGATAAATACATAATAAGATAATGATTTATTACAATTATTATCTCATTCTTATAAATCGTATTAAATATATATATATACGAACTAAAAATAAAATTTTATCTATATAATGTATTTAGTACCAGCATAAAAATCATTTAAAAAATATGATAACGATATTATGTTTTCATCTGTATGTAAAACGAGATTTTAAATATTCTAAAATTAGATGTCTCCTTCCTATTCAATGATTTCACTACACTTACATACATACGATAAGAGAAACTCTTCATTTAATATAATGCTTTCATGCTATACAATATCTCACTTGTTTTTTTTCTTTCCTTTCCTTCTTTCTTTTTTTTCTTTTTTTTTTATGTATTTTTTTCTTATGTATTCAAGAATAAAAAGTTAAAACAGATGTATGATTTCCTCGAACAAGTAAAAATGGTGGCATGTCACGTGTAAGAGATTCAAGCCACGCCATATAAAGAGGTGCAGACACGGCACCTTTCCGTGGCATTGGCAATGTCCTATATACGAATAGATTGCGTGTATACAATCGATGAGAAATATATATTTATAATTTATGTTAGAATAGGAAAAGTATGTTTACTTACATAACAATTAAATTTGCTTCCATAGAATTTTCAAGTAATAATTCTCGTAATCGGAGATGTCTATTTGTTTTTTCTTTCATCGCAATAAGTTCAGATTCTTTTATAATACCTAAAAAATGTAGAAAAAAAAGCAATTTTTTAAATTAAAATTTTTTGTTACATACACATAACTTTAATCGTGTGACATAAGATTGAAAAAAAAAGAAAGTTAAAAAAATGATACCATCGTCAGAATCTTTAGTATTATCAGATAGTTGAAAATCGACGATCAGTGAATCAAAGAAATTTTTCGTACTGCTTTGAGCTGGTTTTGATATATCTGATATCACTTTTAAAGCCGAATAATCTATCCGAAATTTCGATAAAAGACTAGCCATACTGAAATAATTTTCGATTATATATAACAACTATTTTTATCTTGTAGAAAAATAATAATACAAGAGTTGTTCTGAGAAAACATACTTTCTTTGCTCATATTCAAGCTCAGAATGCTTATTTGCAAGAGCAAAAACTCTTAATTTGCTATTTGACCAATTGCGCCTTGTACTGATAATATAAGGTAATAAAAGTGTTAAACCACCATCATCATATAACCACCACACATCTATCGTGCCTTTTTTTTGTTTCTTTTGGAATTTTGTAACAGCGTTAAATATTTCTTTTGCTATGGGAGATATAATTTGTCTATTTTCACGCTGTTGTTCATTTGCGAGCGGATTTGGATATTCGTTAACTACTTTCGAACGTTTCGGAGCAGGACTTCCTGGTATTGAAATATCTGAAGTACTACTGGCTACAAGAAGGAAGGAAATAATTATATTATTATCATATATTATAGAATATAATAGCATGAGGATAAATGTTATTAAATACCTTGACTAAGTTGGGAGAAACTTTGATTTGCTGGTATCACTGTAGGTACAAACCTTTTTTGTTCTTCAACTTCTGTTATAATTCCACTGCTGTCTAATCCTTCTTGAATTCGTAAAAGAGCTACAGCTATGTGCATATCTAATGCTTTGCTATGAAAATGATATGATGGTGATGGTCGTAATTTTTTTTTTTTATGTCCAAGTACAAAAACATTTCAATGTACTTACTGCATGATGTTAAAGTACATGTTTAAATTCTCTCGTGAACAGCACGCCCAGTCTTGTTTATAACCCATCAATAAAATATTAGGTTTCATTTTTCCTAAACCGGCGGCTTGTAAAAGAGAAGTAGTACCGTCTTGAAAATTGGCGCCATCAACCACAGAATAAAACGCTTTTATTTTATTTGCTCTGAACCACGAAGTACATTTCGCTATCATATTATTTCGTGTTTTGTACGATATTGATGTCTGAGGTACAAAAATATGTAATGGATTAATCAAATTTATAAAACAGCATTTCTTTATTAACACATAAATTGTAATTATTAATTATCTATACCTCTATAATATGTCCACAAATAAATAAACTTTGATTCTTCGTAATATGATGAGCAAAATCTACTAACGATACTCTCGCAGATGGAGGTCCAGTAAGAACTAATAATTGGGGTTTGTAATTTTTAACATGTTCTTCTACCCTATCTAATTGTTGAATCGCTGTTAAAGCATTGTTATACGACTGGGCCTGCGTGGTAGAGCCCCAATTCACGTCTACAATAAAAGTATTGAATTAATTAATAAAAAAACGAAACATATATAAAACGTTAAAATTAGTTATATGCGAAGCGTGCATCGAATTATTTATCAAATTTACCAGGTTTCCTATACGAGACTACCAAATAAAGCGCTAGAACTACGAACAAGGTAATCAAGGCTGTCCACCATGAGATCAAAAACATCACAGAAACGCATAGAACAGCACCGGCAAGACTGAGCCACATGTTGTAATACTAAAATACATCAAGAAAATATATATATCAACTATCATTTCAAGTAAATAACTTCTATTACAATTCTATTAACTCTTTCCTATCGAAATCACTAATCCGTACGATTAGAGTAACCAGGTAAAAATAGTTCAAAAATATATCATCCGTTTTGCGAGCGAAAATATTTTAAGACTATTATGACAGGAAAGAATTGAAATGTGTCTACCTTAAATGTTGGTCGCCAACCAATTGGTCTTGCTAGAGAAGCATGAAAAGTGCTGAAATTGATAAGAGTGTATGCAGCCAGGAAAAAATTTGATATCAGTGGAGCGATAGCGTTTAACTCTCCTAAAAAATAAAAAAAGAGTAATCTTCAATTGCTAATGCATCGTTGATGAATATATTAATATATATGTATATTAAGTATATGTTTACCAATTAGTATAAAACCAACGGCAATGACAAAAGTAAGAAAATATCCACGAATAGGTTCCTTGTCCTTATCTCCGCTAAACCATCCTATTCCAGGATAAAGATTGTCAAGACAAAGAGCTTGGAATACTTTTGGTGCAGATACCAAAGAGGCTAAGGCACTTGAGAGCGTTGCTGCGAAACAGCCAGCATAAATAAAGGGACCAAAAGCGGATACTAATTCGATTACCTATAAATAATCATTGTTGTAATTATAATAGATATATATTTTTTTATAAACGGATGATCTCTTAATTATAAACCACACCTCAAAGCTATTGTGAGTTCCATAATTACATCCAGACGTACAATTGAATTTGGTATCATATACGCTCCAAATAGTTTCGCTCCAATTCCCAGCAATGGTAACATTTTCTTCTGAAGTGTCATTTCTTACGTCGAAAAATGATTGCACGACGTAAGAATTATTAACAGTTGTTCTTAAGTCATTTATATCACCGGAAGCGTCTCGCATGACGCTACCTCCAACCATAATTGCCATAAGAATATACGATAGTGTCGTTAATAATATCGCAAGTAAAGTTCCCTTCGGTATCGCCGATTGAGGATCCTATTGGGAAGAGAGTGGTATAAAACATATAATTACGGTGGATTTTCAAATCCTATAATTCAATGAATTTTGTAATGTGTATACGAATGAGATATATACATAAAAATGAAAAAATGATGTTATATAGACAAAAGAAATGTTTTCTGCAGACGAAAAGACTAAATCACCTTCAAGTCACCGGATATATTCGCACCTGCCAGGATACCTGTTGCTGCCGGAAAGAAGATAGCTAGGACTGAAAAGAAGTCATGTTTCACGCCTTCGCTATATCTGTAGTCCGAATGCAAATTATCCATGAATAGATCAGCTGGAAACATGAAAATACGGGTAAATTATCGAAACAAAAACCATTGATTCGATGGATCTAAGTAATTTACCATTATATCCAATAAATCCTTTCGCCTTTTCCTCGTCGTTTTTAGGCCCTATGAAGGTACCAATCATGAAATCAAGGATAGCTGCAAGAAGTATGACCAGAAGACCGATCTGAGCCTTTGCTTCCCACTCCAAACCTACCATTACGATCAAGAGAAGGAATACTATGGTCACACAACCTATTAATGAAAAGGTAACCATCAAAACATTATACCCGGATAGATCTATATTTTTTGAGGATATTTCTGTCAAACCTATAATTCTAATATCCGTGTTGGCACAGTCCACTATGCAAATTCCATAAGATTTAAGACAACCAACCATACTCTCGCAGAAGCCTACTACATACATGGAACAGGCAACTGCATTCGCTAAAGAAAATATTAATCCTATAGAACCTCCAAACTCTGGTCCAAGTGAACGGGATATCATATAATAGGTTCCGCCTATGATAAATAATAAGTTGGATAAATTTCTATCGACATCATATATATATACATTCGACATATATATATTGGGTTGGCAACTAAGTGATTGCGGATTTCAAATAAGAAGGAAACGACAAAATCCGCAATCACTTAGTTGCCAACCCAATATATGTATATATATATATGATACATGATATATGATACATGATATATGATATATATATATATATGTGTGTGTGTGTGTGTACCACACGAATTTTCATACCTCCTTTTATAAGTCCGTTCGTACTAATCGCCGACATGGACAAAGATGTAATGGTCGTTACTACTGTAGTTGTAAGAATCAAGAGTATAGATTGTCCTGAAA